TGTGCTTCTGTGATAAAGTCATACAAAACGTTGAAATAAAAAATAAATAATTAAATATTATTTACTATGCATGTCAAGTGTTGGCCAATTTGCGAATCACGGTTTTCTTATAAAATCAAAATTTACTTATTATTACTATAAATTTTAAGTTTTTTAGTTTGGATAATTTGTGTTCTTAATTTTGCTCTTATAGAATAATTATAATACTTCTATGTCAATGTCGTAAGACTTTTTAACAAAAACAACACCATGAGTCAATAGAGATTAGAGATTGTCGTTGACGAGATGGATCTCAAAATCATACTGTGTCAAAGACTTATAATATTTACACATTGTGTACTGTATAAGAATTTAAATTTTTAAATTACATTTTTCTGAACAATTTTGTTGTTAAGTAAAAGAAAAATTAAAAAAATTAGACAATGTGTAAATTTTCTCCTAGAGAGCAAAAACGTTAACTTTCAAGAATTTAAATTCTTTATATTCCAATTTTCCAGATGAGAAATTTATAAGACTCTGTTATTTATTTAACAAATTATATATAAATTATTAATATTGTTAATAATTAAATTAATTAATTAAATAATTAATTAAATTAAATAATAATAATAAATTATTATTATTGTTTGAATTTTATTTTAATTAATATCAAAATAATAACTTAAATGTGAAGAGTAAAATTTTGGCATAAAAAATTATCATTCACTAATATTAAGTATAAACATTGTCATATAGTAAACTTTAGTATACAATAACGAACCATCAAAATATGTATAGCAAATTAAATTTAAAAGCAAATCATTATCATAAGACAAATATGGACAATATTAAGTATAAATAATCTCGAATTTAATGCTTTAACTGGTTTTTCATATCTTAATATGTTACAATTTAATCTAGTATACGTACAACTACTCTAGATCATTATTTGATTTTGTTTTTTCTAATGTAATTATGTAAACAATCTAAATGTATCCCAAGTAACTTGTGCACTTATGTCATTACATCATTAATTAAATTATCTACTTTATTTTTGAAACTTTTAGATTATAAGAAAAATACATTTATAATTTCAAAAATTGTAATTATTTTAAAATTAGCGTCAGTTAACATTTTCTATGGAAATATTTTTTAAATATTTCACTTTCAGTGTTGGAAAAGGTACTTATATACTCCAATATTATAAATATTCGCGAACGAAATTTCAAACTCTTTTGCCCATTTATTTCGAACGTATTTAAACAACCGACTACTCAATATTATAAGACTACGAATAATAATTGTAATAATATGCTGACTATTGGTTCAAATGCGTGTGAATTAAACTCATATGAAGTTTATAAAAAGTTAGAATGCTTAAATGAAAAACCATGTGCAAGCCCAAACATAATCTCGACTTTATTTTTTTACTGAATATAAATTTGTCTTAATCTAGTCCTTTACTACTCTAATTTGAAATTTCCCAATCATCAGGTATCTTTCCAGACAAATACAAAATTAACTATACCCAAATCACCCGTTTCTGAGGGCAATGATATTAATCAAGTAACAAACTATCGTCCAATTTCGATAACTTCAATAATCCCAAAAATATTTATAAGTATTATGTCTAAAATAATATCCATTAATTAAAAATATTATTAATGATGAACAACAATGCTTTATATCAAATAGACTAAAAATATTTTAAATCTCCGATATTATATTTTAGACACATTTAAATCAAACCATTAATTTGACGTTGTATTAACAAACTTTTCCATAAGAATTTGACATAATCGATCATTATATCCAAGCTGTCAAATTAAAATATCTGGGTAGGTTTTCGTAACCCTTTACTCTCATAGCTAGTCTATTTTATATCAAATAGAATACAAATATAAAAAAAAACTTTTTTTCAAGTTAATTTAATGTGACTTTTGGTGTAACTCAATTATATCACACCGCTCTTATTTAATTTATTCATTTATAACATTAATTTTTTTAATTCGCATATGTTATTACTTGTCGATGATCTTAAAGTATTTAAATTTATTAAAACACCTAATGATACCGCAATGTTTCAAAATGACTTAAACCATCTTTGTGTTTGGTGTAACCGTAATAAATTATTTCTAAATACTTTGAAATGTAAAAAATAATAACTTTTTTGAAAAAGCAATCTCCACATCTTCATAATTATTATTTAAATGACCTAAAACTCACTTGTGTCAACCAGACTAAGGATTTAGGTATATTTTTGACACGACTCTCTTTTAAAAAATTAATTTCACACATGTACAAAGTAAAACGTCAACTATATTAGATTTTATAATCCAAAGCTGCAAAGACTTCAAAACTTCAATTGTGTTGAAGTCATTATTTTTACTGCTCATATGTACGTTCAATTCTTGATTATAACCCTACATAGTCTGGTCACCAAGTATAGTAGGTTCAATACAAACTATATAATCAATACAAAATCTGTTTTTAAGGCTAATATCTCTTAGATGTAATATATACCTATACTAGTATGTACCTATACGATAACCTCACTCCTCATAAATCTTAAAACTTGGTAAACGAACAATGAATACATGTACATCGTTTCATCGGTGTATTAAATTCCGTTTGGACACTTATTCGTATATCGTAACTAGTTATAAATTGAAAATTGTTCATAAATCAAATTCATTAATATAGATACGTCATTGTTGCTTACTGCAGTTCAACTCAGAATAACCGATAAACTATGAATAAACTGTGCATCTATTATTGATAATACTACTAGAATTGTTATAATTATACTATTATATTATTTTACAGAGACAAAAATTAGTATCCATAACATATTATACGATAAACACAAATCGTAACCGATAACTGGTAGAGGGTTGACATCATTTCGGCATTCCATTTTTCCAAGACATTTTGCTTTAAAAATATAAAATTACTATTCATACAACACGTCATACAAAAATGTAGCTATTTCATTATTAATTATAATTGAATATTTATAACACACTTATATCTAATTATTCCATATGCATATCTATTATTATCATACTACAAGCCATATTCGAATCTTGTACAAAGTACAACGCTAAAACTGAGTCCACATGATGATAATATAATAACACAATATAATAATTGTAATCTTGCAGAGATTCAGGACAGTTTAAAAAGGCTCTAACTGTGAAGACAATATGATAATTTATTACTGTTATATAATTATATGGTTATATCCATAACTACTGTACAAAAATCCTTGTATAAACCTTATAGTTTATTTACCTATATAACTTCAGAAGAATAAGCCTTTAAATTGATTAAATTTAGCCATTAAGTCTCGCCAAAAATAATTTTTCTCACACAATAACTGACCTGTTTTTAAGGCATTACAAATAGGTACCTTTTTGTGCGCAGTTCTCAAACATACGTCTACGGAAAAAAATATAGAACGTGGTTTTTAAGTAACGGACAGCACGCGGCGGTGCTGATAATGTATTTGATTCGGGAAATTTCAATCGCAAATATTGTTACACTATTAATTCAACAGTATTGAATTTAAATTTCTTAAAAGAACGGACCACTAAACACATACATAAAGTAGACGTCATAATATTATACATGTCATGATTAAGTGTTTGTTTTCGAAAATTATACTATTTTACACACATTTTTAATTTTGACAAGTATATCAACGTCGTTCTGCACACAGTACCTGTATGCATATTGTATGATTCGAAAAGCTACGCCGTGCTTATAGTATTTCCGTGCAATAATTGTATAATTATTATAATAATATTCTATGTCAGTTCTATACGTTCTATGAATTAATTCATTATTAATTCCCATCGTGTATAATTTGATGTTCTCGGAGTTAATGTATAATGTAAACTGTACGTGGAAAATTATTAAGTTTGGCATATTTGTGCCCTCTTTAATGTTTTCAACGAATCGCATAAACAACAAACTACACATAATAATTTATTGCAAGTCCGATGTACACTTTCCGAAGTTTTCGTTAATTAAATTTGTACAACACGACTGCGGGGAGTCGCGTTTCAAAATATATCAAACTTCGTGAAACGTTGCAGCAGTTATTCATTATAAATCACTCGATTTTCTTTTGACTGTCTACACACAATACATATATTTATAAAATATGTATAAATATGTATATCCTGCATAAATTTTGGCGAGAATTTCAAAAAAAATAAAAAATAAAACTTGTTTTAACCTCTATGAACAACCGTTGAAAAAGTCTGCATCGGTCGCCCCGCGACACTCCTCCAAGCGTGCGACAGCAAAGCAATATCAATTTTTAAGTTATTATTTATCGAGTTGTCGGTTGGCCTTTTCTTTTTTAACATTCAGACTAAAGTACGTGTAAGGAACTGATGGAGGTGTAGTGGGTTTTTATTTATGACGCGGTGTCCGTCCAGTCCGAGGGGCATTATTTAGAACAACCGAAAAAGAAATCTCTAGAGCGCTTAAGTCGTTGTCATATATTACGTAGAGTGTTGAATTTAACTTAGTGTTCTGCAATTATTTACAGTATGGTGTGGTGCGGATGACGTCAGTAAAAAACAAATAACAAAAAAAAGTAAAAACGGTAGTAAAAAACAATATACATTTCAGGCGCTATTTTTAAACGAATAACTAAATTATTGCTCTTTATTTTGATTTTATATTATTATCATATAGGTTAGGTGATTATGTTTGACTATGCGTATTATAAAGCGCCAAAATGTATTTGCTGAAGAATTATTGTCAGTTAAAATATATAGATATATAATAAAACGAGCTATTGTCAAACACTCGCTCTAGATACACTGCATTGTATAATATTTAGTAGATATGTTAAGTAAGCAATTATAAACATTTATTTAATGATAAATACTAAAATATAATATAAATTATATGATTATGTATGAAATAGGTTAGATTTAGTGTCTACGTATACACTTTACACTGTACATCTTTAATTATCTCATTTCGCCGCTTTATTGTTGTAGGTTGCTACGGAGAGGATCCATGTTCGTGTTTTCCACCGACCAGATCAGACGACTGCTGAACTTGACATTTTTTGATAGCGGCTCGACGCTAATTGACTTGGGTGCCGGTGACGGGGCCACTACCGAAAAATACACGCCCTTAATCCGCGAGGTCTACACAACCGAAAAGTCCGGCCCTATGATCCGGATCTTGACCGAAAAAGGATTCAGGTGAACTCTTACAATGTATAGTTTCCTTTTATATATAAATATATATATATATATACCTGCAAGCCTGTAGGAATCAAAATAGTGGTAGTGAGAGGAGCGTGATGTAACACATAAAGTTTTCATCCACAGTAATTTGTTTATATTATTAAGTCGACATTTTCGCACACCTTAACCCTCTTCGAAATCACACATATACTCTTCTATTCTATACATACTCATATGTTATATATGTATCGTACAATATTATGTTATCTTAAATTTTAAACAGTTAATTAAATCCAAACAAGAATTATTTAAATAGCAATGTAAAATAATGGCGTTGCAAACCACAAAATAATATGAACCTGTACTCCGTACAATTTTAATCGGTATTGTGAAATGTAATGTCGAGTGCTAAATTGAAGTACCTAATTATTAGAGAGTATTTTTTTCAACTATTGAAAATTTGATGGCTGAGAACTGATTTTTTACACTATTGATGGTGTAAGTACTGTTAGTATAATACACACATGAAAACTTAGTTGGGGTTGAAATTGTTTTTATTTTTGAAATAATCAATCAAGAGATGCTGCGATTAATGAATAATTTTTAATAAATAGACACATATTATTGATAGGTATTACAAAAATGTTTTTAATTTTATTTTTCATAAAATTTTATAGGAATTTCTAGTTAGATAAATATATTAGCCATTGGGTATTATATATAGTTGCAATTTGTTTTATTTTTTTTTTTTCAAAATTAAATTAAATTATATTTATACGCAATTATTTATTTTTGAATAGTAATTCATGTTTATTCTTCATAAGTATTCAATAATTCATACTTCGCTATTTTTTGTACTTGTATGTGTGTTTTCCAGATACAGCATAATTGCACGCTTTTTCGTTTTTATTCCTTTTCTAATTGTGTTACTTGGTACGCAATCGTGCTATGATTTTTCAGATCAAAAAATGAAAATGTGCGTAATCTTGCTGTATCTGTGATTTCCTACAACTTTCACAGATTATATTAGATTTATGTTATGGTGTGTCTACGTAATTTTATTATGAATATAAATTTTTCTAATTGATATTCCCCAGCTTCTATACCTATTTATCAGTAGGTACATTTCTACAAAATAGTTTAGTCATAAAATAAAATAATTGGTGTTAGTTGTTCTTTAGATAATATAATGATGCACTTAAATAATTTTTCTTCAGTAGAATAACAATAAATTATTCAAGTCTTCAAAACAGCTAGGTAGATAAATATGATGTTATAAGTTACAATATTAAATAACGATTTACAATATTTGCATGGTTCAGCATTAAAAGCGACTGAGAAAATTAAATTTAATATAATTTTTTTTTTTCACTTTCGATAAAAGAAAATCATTTTCTTCACTTCGAAGTACAAAAATTTCAACCTGGATATCTATCTGAAATAATTTACTGGCTGACATTTATTAATAACCGAGAATTATAATTATGTATAATAGAAACAATGAATTATATCATAATAATATAATTTATTTAATTTTTAAAAATTAAATATTTGTTGTTTATTATTATTATTTGCGCGTTTACAGCTGTATTTCAACAATCTATTGTTTAGTTTCCCTTATTTTAAAAACTTTGGTATAAACCTTTAACCTGCAATTAGGCCTGAGGACGCTACACAGATATTCGCATAGACTTTCATCCACTACCTAGTATGATAGTATATACGTAATTTAATTAATATTGATTCGTATCCATCTATTATCTATATGATGTATAAATATTAATAGATATTATGTATTTACCGTGATTAGTACCTAAATAATAATGTGTTATAAACAGATTGTTGGACGTCGACACGTGGTGGACTCGTGAAGAGAAATTCGATGTAGTGTCATGTTTGAACTTGTTGGACCGGTGTAGCAATCCGGCAAAGCTCTTGCAAGAAATGAAAAACGCAGTAAAACCCAATGGCAGGATCATCGTAGCGCTGGTATTGCCGTATAAACCTTTCGACGAATTCAGTGAGTACAAATCCCTGCGCTATTGTAGTAAATAGTTATTTAAGTCTAAAAATTTGAGTAAATGAATAGGTATTTAGGTTACTCGAGCCGATCACTCTGTACTATACAATATTATATTTACGAATTCCTACGCTCCCTGCACAGGTTGGAAAATCCCTTGAAAATGAACCTGTTTACTCCTTAATACATTGTACAGTTTTTTGTGAAATATCCGAATCGTTGAATCGTTTTTTATATTTGATTGTTGTACCCTGTGTTGAATCCAGACAATTTCTCTGGGGGGCTCACTTTTTTTTTTCATTTGTGAATGGTGATTTTAGTATTATAAATTATATATATTATTATAGTTATCACAATTTATAATTCAGATATTAGGTGTGGTAATCATAACGAGTATTATTGTGCATTTGTGTATTTAATAAATAGGTATACTTTGTTGAAAGCTGTATTTGTCAGGAGATTCGTAAGAAACGTCAAAGAGGCGAATATCTCCCCTAAATTATACTTGGATTCAACACTGGTTGCGCCACCTAAGACGCGCCAACCGATTTTTAATATAAACAATTTTAACAAATATTCATACATATAAGTGCATGTTGCTTATGCTGCAAGGATAATAGAGATAATTCTGGAATGTAAATTGTAAACAGGATCCGCGATACCGGAACAAAAGTTACCGATCACCGGCGTAACGTTCGAGGAACAGGTGTGTTCAGCAGTGCACGACGTGTTCGAACCGTCCGGACTGGAAGTGCTGCGCTGGACTAAACTTCCGTATTTATGCGAAGGCGACCTGAGCCAGGACTATTATTGGCTGTACGATGCCGTCTTCGTAATGTCCGCAAAAACGCCGCCGCAAGTCATTGAGGATTCATAGCACTTGCAAATCGATGTGCAAGGCGATTCTCTAGTTGTCTGCACTATGTTATTATTATATTATAGTTGTTTTCTGGTGAATTTATGTATAATTGAAAATATTTTTTTTATTTTTTTAAGCAAGTAACCTGAAGTAAATACAACAATCATTATTGTTTTAGTTTTTTTCTATTTTCTAAAACAACAATATTAGTACATTTTCAAAAACTGATTATTTGAGAACTTAGATAAAAAAAAAATCTAATTTGGAATCATTAGATTAGGGCTAGTTATATTATTATTAATTATTCAGTAGCATTTATAGAATTTACACTGTGTATGAGGAGAGAGATATGGAAATATTTCTGTACAAAATATTATATTTATATACTATATTATGGCCGTGTTATAATGGGCATCTATTCATAGTTTTATTTTATGATAGAAAATCTAAGTTTCTATAGATGTATCATAACGTCGAATGTCAATTACTTCGTCAAATTTTGTTGTGGTTTTTATGTACATTTGTACAAAATACTTTTTTATAGGCTACGAGGAACGTATACAATCCTTTAGTTTTAATGGGTGTACCACCATTATATTAATACTGGGTTTTGTTCAGCATTAAACATCTGATAAATGTGCAATTAAAATGCCAAAATATGAAAACTGAAAATTTTAATAATTATTAGTGTACCATATTAGGAATTGAAGAATAATATTTTTTTAATTCTAATTATATTTTATTTAGGTAAGTACTATATCTATTTTTTCATTTCATAATATTTTTTTATGTATAATAATAAAAATATGTATCTTGGTATAATGCATTTATGTATCTATCTAATCTAAATTATATTTTATTAAAAATTACTAAGTGCCTATCTGATACATGACATACGAGTTTTTTTCCTACAGCTAATAATTAGAAACAACCACCATCTCTCGAATGATCAATGGTCATGTACTCAAAGGTATATGATTGTCATCGTCAAAGTTTTTGTTATCAACGATAACTTATCATTATTTGGTACACTGTATTAAATTAAGTTAAAAGTCCAGTAACAATGATATTAAGTTATAAAAACTCTGTATGGGTATTATCTTTAGTTCCTAATTCCTGTGTAATAATACAAAAACTATATCAATTATGATATATAATTTATGATGTGCATTTTAAATCAAAAATCAAAACCCCTGAAATTCGTAATTATATACATAATAAAACTTTGCTTAAATTAATCTACGTTATTTATTTGATTTGGATTTATAACTATTTTCAACTTCAATAGGTTAGGTTCCTATCCCTGTGTCGTACTCAGAGAGTGTAGAAGGTTGTTCCCTAGCTCTTTCCCCACCAAAAATTGCTAAATATTCAAATAAATAATTTTATTAATATCAAATATGTACAAATCAAACACAATAGGTAGTTTAAGAAAATGTAAAATAACCGAACTAGTATATTATGCATCATTGATTAAAATATTGTATCAAATAAAATTTTTCCCCATAGATATATGTATACTGTGTATACAATACTGACTATATAAGTATACCAGTAAGTACAGCCCTTCAAAACCACCTTTAACCTGAATTACATGATACAGATGCTTTAATAATAACGCCGACTGCTATATCGATACCTATCTTACAATTCCCAATTTTGAACCCTTGGTATATTTTCGAATTTCGATATCGTTTTCATAATAAATAATAATATTATCCATGTTGAAATGTTAAGACAGTCAGTCATCTACATAGTGATTACAAAATTACACCGATCGTAGAATGAAGAACAAAAATTAAATAGATAAACATTTATTATTTTAAAAAACAAAAATATTTACATATTTAAACTTTTACTATAATCGTAATAAAATTTATAATTATAATAAAAACCACACAAATAATTCTAAGCTAGGTACTGAGTATCTACTTTTATAGGTAGAAGGTAGATTTGAAATACCTACGTAATAAAAAAAGTCCATTCGCACGAGAAACCAGTCTTTAATTATTCATATACCGTAACATATTATCAATATTACCTTTATTAAAAAATGTATAATCAATGATGTTGCTTAAAGTTTTGACGGAGTAGTGAACCAGCATTGTACATTTGTACAAACTGTACGTACCTATGCAGTATGTACCAGCTAACACTTCACTAATCTTAGATTTAAATGCTTACAAAAACAAAATACAAATTTAACTTATTTAACCAAATAACCACTGCAAGTTCTATAGATATTCAATTTGTATACGTCAAATGATAAGAAAAACATTCTGTTTCAGAATAACAAATTTAAAATGTGCTTGTATCATTCAAAAGAAAAAAAATATTTAAAACATCTATTACGATAAAGAAAACTGTAAGAAATGTTGTAACTTTAATGGTTAAATTTTCTAAAACACATAAGTTTACCGAGAAAATGACAGTAAATTCATAAAAAATACACCTTTTACGTAATATATCACAATATATACATATTTGATAAAGGTACGAACTCATCCGCCGCGACGTCTTCGCGTAAAATTAGGAAGGGATAGGTAGGTATAATAAAAACTCAATCGTGTATGTTTAATATTAAGTTTTATATTTTTGTTTCAAATAAAACGTTAAGAACTACAATATAATATAACCACACAATTTTTTTTTTCATACATCAATTATAAAACTTCTTAAAACTAGATACATAATATTATTTCGCAAACACAATATAATATATCATTATCATTATACAACAATAATTTATTGTACCTATCTATCTTTGCAATAAAACGTCGTCCAAACGTCGGATTACAAAATTGGCCAGAATTGAATGAGAACCTAAATACCTAAAATATGGAAGTCCCGTCAAACAACTATACGTGATACGAAATTTGGACGACCTTACAGTACATATTATGTGCTTTGTACAATTAGTACAATTAGGAAAATAATGTCAAAAATATTATGCATCAAATTTTGGATTTTGGTAAAATTAAAGAATGGATTAGGAAAGATCACAGATACGTTTTTTTTTCAAATAAAGACGACTAAGATGTTACTATATACTAATAAAGTAATAATAATAAAAGTACATTACATTTAACACACAAATCACATTTACCTATTATACTATTGGTTGTCAGTAATAATATACATCCGTTTTTTTAGCTCAATGTTAATAATTGCCAATCTCACGGTAAATGAAAATTTATTTTAACCATACATTTCACACAATCAAATCTCTACATTCATTTTTAAACATTAAAATGAAAAAAAAAAAATCAATAAATATTAATTACAACAAATAAAACAACAAGGCCTACTGAAGTTTTAATATCATTAAAAATAAATGTATGGTGAAGTATAAGGATACAGAAAAATAAATTTGTAGTTTGTATAGATAGAATAAATATATTATACACATATAGATAATTTAAAACTTTAGTTTTAGATGTTTTAACAACCAAAAATCATTGAGCTTATAACTGGAACTCATTATGAAGATTATGGATATTAAACAGTATATAGGACTTAAAAAACTATGTTGGAACACTTAGTATTGATAATATTAAAAAAAAAAAAATTACATTTACATACAAATAAAATTGTATAATAATTTCATGTGACTTGGCAAAATCACACATTTGCACACTTAAATATAATTTTACGTATATTATATATAAAATTAATAATAATACAAATTAAACATATAATTATCATAAACTATTTTAAGATAATAAAATTAGACACCAATTAGTATGAAAGATGTTGTTGTTGACTAGCGTGGTATAAATGTCTAGGTATAGTAGAGTTCAGCAAATTAAATGATACATAGTCCTTCGATTTAGTCTAAAAGGTCATGGAGATAGGTTTGACAATCGAATAACTTGTTTCATTTGAAACACCAAGTATACATTTTATGACAGTTATTCTGAGAATAAACTTTAACTGTACTAATAAAATAAATAACAAAATTCTTAACCAAAAAAAAAAAAAAAATTTAGATCAGTACACACTTTAAATAAAATAATATAATAGATTCTCAATTACTTTAATCTTGATAATAAGAAACTACATTTACCTTTGACTGTTTTCCTTTTCTTAGAAGCTAAAGTTTAATTAGTTAAGTTACTGAAAGTCAAATATACTTAAAATATTTTATAATTTTAACCAGTAAACACTTATATAATATATATGCATAAGAAGAACAAATGAAATAAAAAATCTACTGTTACTTTTAATACAAATTGAATAAAGCAAAAACTCTATTATTATTATTACTGTCCATTAAATGCTTAAAACAGTTCAAATATAAATATATACTGACAGCCATAAACAAAAGACATAAAAAAAAAATTTAAATAATATTTCTTAAAGGCTATATAGTAAATATATATTCCTAATTTGCTACCTAATTAAATTGAAAGCAAACAATTCCTCACTGAATAATAAAAAAAAAAATAACTTGAGAAATAATAAATGGATAAAAAATTGATACAATTTAAACATTAAACAGTCAATGTATAATTATTCAAATAAACTTTCCCTTATAATAATTATAATTAGTAAATTATGTAATCTTAGTCAAAAAAATTATTAAATATTTAATTATACTTAGATTACTATTATGGCATGAAATATTTTGAAACTAAATAAAATATAAATGTTTGGCAACATACATTTTGATATCATATTGAAATGTATACAAAATAATTTTAAATGGATGTTGAATTTTCAAATAGTTCAACAGAATATTCAATTTTAAATAAATAAATAAGATAAATAACTCGAACTAGAAGACACTCATAAGGAAACATTAGAAATTTAATTTAAATAAAATGGTAAGATCCCTCCAATTAAACAAAAAATTTTCCCATACATTTTGGAAAAAATGGGGAATTTTGACTAGACATAAAAATAAAAGCAATGTAATTTTTAAAAGTTGATGAATATAGTTGAAAAAAATTTTTACTTTTCGCAAGTTTTATGCGAATTCTTAATTTTGCTTGTTGCGAGACATTGCATCACAGAGATCTTTAAAATTGGCAGCTGAAACTGTTTGATTAGAATTGTCTAGAACAGTTTTTCTTAATCTAGAAAATATTTTTAAAAATTAGTTACATATCTTATAAGTAATTGCATTTAATTTCAATATTAATTTCAATACAAATGTTTTCATATTATTACCCATGTTTATCTTCATTTTTCCAACTACTGACAGCAATATGTGGTGGAGGAAGAAATGATCTTAATGACTGAACAAGCTGTATTGTATCAATCAATGCTGAAAAACATTTAAAATTAAAATATAACAAAATGAAAAAATTGTTAGTTTGAATTAAACATAAAAACTCTATTAGTATGGTTTTTACAATCAAATAAAATTAATTGGGTAAAAAGTCTAAAACAATAATTTAGTTAAGAAGTGTTAAATTGGATAAACAATATTTTATTTTCAAAGAACTTACTTTTTTGCAATGATTCAGATTGTTTTCCATAAGGTTTACACATAGCTGGTCTCACACATGCTTTCATTCTATTCATATTTTTCATTATTTCTGAAAATGCTCTGATAATTTTTTCTTGGCCAGCTGAAATTAAAAATAAATTGTCATGATATATTGTGTTCTATTGTTAAAATTATAATTATTCTTACCATCTAAATGACCTTTACGATTGTCTGAAACTTCAGGCCAAGTTGTATCATGAGCAGCCATTAAATCTTTATTGTCTAGATTTTCAAGATTTGCTTTTAAAAAATCTGCCAACTTATTGTGCTGTGCTTGTCGTGCACTTACAGTTTTTGGAACCTGAGGTACATGTATAGGCATAGGATTCGGTATTTCAGGAGTTGGGTGTGGAGATGGTCCAGTTAGATCAACAGGCGTTGAATGCTGTTGTTGGGATTGAGTACTAGAAGGTGCCAAACCATGAGCACTTAATTGCTGATTAATCATTTGACTCATTGATATACTTGGACTTTCACGACCAACTGGGATATTCACGCCTATGAATATAATCAAAAAATTAATATTCTAATTTATTAAACCATAAGAATTACCAATGCAATATATAAATAAAAATATCCTACCAGAATTCGAAGAGTTCAAGTAATTTGACTGTTTAGTATGTTGAGATAAATCTAATTGAGTCTTGTAATATCGACATGCTGGGTTTGGGCAATTTTGTACAACTTCAATAATAAAGTCTTTTTCCATACCAAAATTTTCACGACCAATTGTATATGAATCCATAACCTATAAATATTAATATTAACTTAAGAATCAACAAAAATCAATTAAATTAATGAGTACTTATGGTTTGACCAAATTAAATGAAAATCAGTCACAGTTTAAGGTTACTCTTATTTGAGTATATTTCTGAATTTAATTAAAATGAATGATTATTAATATGGTCTAAAACAGAGGACACATAATATTCTATATTGTCTATGAAAAAAAATTTTTATTACCGCTCGAACAGTTCCTTCAACACCTAAATGTAATCCATGCGGTCCATTCATATGCTTTAACATAACAGCATTTGCAAAATGTTCATAAGGTAAAATAATTTTGCCATTTTCTCGAAGGATTAATCTTGCTTGACTATCTAATGACACTCTAGAAGCCATCATTCTAAAAAAAAATTGTTTCAAATAAATGTAAGAATAATGTTAGTATATAAGCATAAAATTACTGAACTATGTATTACAATATATAAATGCATGTATATTGAATATGGAAAACTATGGTAATTATAATTAATATACATAAAAGATATTTTTTACCACATTACATAATTATGAATTATTATATTACACATCTATTAGCATGTTAGGTAATTGACAAAATATACATAAATATGTTGATATCATCAACATAAGATTGATAGAAAAGCCAACTGATATAACATTTAAAACTGAATATAATAAAGGATAAGTTACTAATTTATTTCAAATTAAACTATTTGTTAATTTAGATTATTTTCAAACTTCATATCTTGTAATTCAAATTAAAAATAATGTACTAGCTATTTATTATAATTTATAAGTAATTATTGGTTACATCATATGAAATTTAAGGATATCTAAGAAATACACTACTATTTTTAGTTGTTTTATTTGTTAAGTAAAAATTGAATTTTTCATATTAATATTGAGGGTACATTAATTTGCAAAATTTGTTTATGAGAAAAATTCAATTTTGAATTATAAAAACTTGTTTATCAGGTAGTTATTTTACTAAGCCAAAATGTATAAATTGTTTCAAACTAATATAACAAAATAATAAAAAAAAAATAAAAAGAAAACTTACTGTAAATAGGAAGCACTAGGCAGTACAGATGAATCCTTCATTTCAGAGAATATTTTCAACAATTCTATGCTGTTCCATCCCTTATTTTGCAGATACAGCTGCAGCAGCATGTAAAGTTTCTCCGTCACATAACCACTAAACGCCGAATTAATGTCGGCCGGAAGTCCTTTAGGAACTATATTTTTCATTGCTTCGGTCAGTCCGATGTCCATTTGATTCATGCTGAAATAAATAAATAATTAATAAAAAATTCATATAGTGGATTTTTTGATTAAACGACAACCGTCTAGGATTGTGCTGACCGTACAGAGTTAGTTGGCGTTAAGAAAGTACGCCCCGGTATTCACTGATGATAAACACTAGATAATAAATAAACGTTTAAAGTACATCACGTACGACGGAGAATTATAAAAGTTGCATGACAAATTTAACTAATAATTTAAAATTATGTAACAAGAATGACTAAAATATAAATATGAAAGAACTGAAAGAATTAAATAAGAGTTAAGATTAAAGTGAAGAGCGATTGTTTTATTTTTATTTTTTACTTTTATCAAGAGAGATAACGAAAACGATCAAAACGTCGCTATCTGTTCCAAGCAAATGGAATTCTTCCATGATCTTTTAGGTTATGATCTCATCTCGACGTTCTCACGTAAACATTAAAATTGTTAGCAAGCACTCTTTTCATTACGTTTCGGCACTTGGTGTATTCTAATTAAACAAAATGGTGAGTTTTATCCATTTCAATCCTAGAATATTATTATAGCTTTACAATTTTAATTTCACCAATATTAAAGCCAATCAATTGTGTTAATATTTCATATTACATGTACTAACGATTTGTATTTTTGTTTTTTTTAGACGAAAGTCAAATGCTCAGATTTGCGTCTTAAAGACAAGGAATCCTTGTTGAAACAACTTGAAGAATTGAAACAGGAATTGGCAAATTTGAGAGTTTCAAAAGTTACTGGAGGTACAGCATCGAAACTTTCCCGGATGTAAGTATTAGCATTTATATGTTTTATAATATTGTACTCTCGTCGGAATCAGTTATGTTAATCTTATTTGAAGAAACCTTCGATTACATTTTACTTGTATCAATTTCCAGTTATTAAAAATTGTTCAACGATTTTAATTGTTGCATAGAAATTGTACTATTATTTAATTACCAATAGTTTGATTTATATCTCCAATGATATTTCAATATAGATTTAAAAAAACATTTGTGTTATCCGTAGACTAAGTTTTGAGTACAAAAATTATTTTATAATTTATGTTAATTAAAATTAACAACATGTCTTGATTTTTAGCCGTGTTGTTCGCAAAGCAATCCTACGTTGTTATGTCGTAATCCATCAAAAACAAAAGGAAGCACTACGAAAAATCTTCAAGGTATGTTGAATTATTGAAATTGATTGCACAATTTTTTTTTTTAAGTGGGTACTTCTGCGTGATATTCTGTGTAACCTAGATTAAACGTTCTATTAAATTGTTTAATTTTATAATTTGAAACTCCCAATTGCATTTTGAGTATATTGTACTGGTCAGTTATTAACTTGTGAAATATCCACTAGAATATAATTACCAACTTCAAATATGTTTTGATAAATGATATAAATTATATAATAATTATGTTGATTTCAATGTAACAAATTCTATGTTTATAAAATAATTAACTTAAATTTTACTGTTTTCTGGTATTTATAAATAATTTTTTTTTCAGAATCGTAAGTACAAGCCTTTGGATTTGAGGCCAAAACTTACCAGGGCAAAGAGACGTGCACTGACAAAAAAGGAACTGAGTGTTAAGACCTTGAAAGAAATCAAGAAAAAGAACAAGTTCCCCCCTAGGATGTACGCCGTAAAAGCATAAGTTCTGTTATACTGACCTTAAATTAAAAAAAAAAAAAAATTATGTTTGATAAAAACTTTTTTTTCATTTATACCTTTCATAACTCTTAAACTAAAATTAACATATGGTGTATACTGTACAAAATGTGTACTTGTATCAAATTTCTAAATCATATTGATAGTATAAAAAGATAGTCTTTTTCATTTAAACATTATTTTAACCAATTTTATGATACATAAGTAATAATAATTTTTGTTCTTAATAAACTAAATTCTAGAAATTAAACGGTGCAATATAATTTAGAAATGTTACCATGTTCAATCAATGAGATGAATGAAAGATGATATAATAATGATTGTTTACTTAAAAGTATTGTTAATTAGTTAATTGTATACCTTCTTAATATTAAATTACTCATAAAGTAAAATACAATCAATATTCAATAATATTTTAGGCCCAATGCTGAATATATCTTACAGTACATGTATTTTAATAATGTGTAGTTATTGAAACTGGTATCAACAATCAAATTTATTATGAACCACAGAATAGAGTATAGAAATTATAGTTGATACTGTTTTAACTTATGATTTGAATCTCTAAGTAACATGGAAAGTGATCCTAAACACCAACTTATGGTTCTATATTTACCTGTGTTATGGAAATGTTTACTATTCCATTGTTCAAGTCTTATTAGCTAAATATGTGTTTTAGGCACAATCATTTTGTGTTTATTTATTTTGTTTCTTTAATATTTGTGATCGTTACTACTTAAATCTCTTAACATTTTAGTAGATTCTATTTACCTAATGAATATACATATAAAGTAATTATAGAATATAAATTGTATTTATATTTTTTTAAATAATAACACAGTAAATAATAAGCAGAGGAGCTCAACCTAACTGTGTAAAAACTATACCAATTGCAAAGTGCAAAATTATGTAATACAACTTTTCCTCTCACAAGACTGCAATTTTTTTTCTTTTAATTCGTGCAAGTGAATAATAAACACTCAATTTTCTCAAATTCAACCAATACATTTTATACATTAAACCACTTAAAATGACTTAAATAATGAAAAAAAACCATTTTGAAAGCAATACCTACTTGAACTTTAGACTACATGTTGCAGTAGGCAATAAAAAAAATTATTTTAAAAACAAAAATATTTAAAATTTTCAACTATTTAAACCTAGAAAAATCATTTTGGGCGTAGTTTCTATTGTTTCCCTGTCAGTAAAAATAAAATTAGGGGAGCTCAATCTCTCTTTGTACCACCACAATTCAGTCACTATAAATAGATACTTAGCAACATAAATAAGTGACAAATTAGAATAGATGTTCAAAATCATATACTTGCTATTAATAATTTTTTACAAATTAAAAATATGTGCAAATACTTGATTTTACATAAACAAGATAAATTAAAAATATTTAACGGATTATGAATTCTGTTTATGAATATTATACATATTATCAAGAATTTGATTTATCATTAGCTGGTTGTAATGCAAACATTTCAACTTTGAACAGTTCTGATGGGAAATTATTTTGTGTTCTTCTTGCTTTACATACTAAATTTGCTTTCTGGAATATAATACAAAATTGTAAGAAACTTCTCGTTATTGAACTATCTTCAGAATCTACTTCTCCTTCTTCTTCTTGAGAAATATTTTCTTTAACAACTATAACGCCATTTGTATTTAACAATTTACTTAAACAAAAATACAAACATAATTATAATTTGTACTTAGAATACACAATAAAAATGTAAACACCAAATTACTTTTGTTTAAAAAAAAAATAATGAATTTATCCTTACCAACACTTATTCAAGAAATTGACCAAATCGTCATCTGTGATGTAACCAAGAACCCACTGGATCCATATAACGTCATATTTTTGATTGTCAGTAGGTGTGAATTCTTGTAATCCTAAGAAAAATGATTGTAGACATTATTTATTCCATAATCCTAAAGCGAAATGTTGTCTAACACACCAGAACAATAAAAGTTTTCTACATTAGACCCAAAGCAATTCAATTTGGCTTTTTCCAAAAATTTTTCGTCCTGTTCCAGCATATCAACACACTTGAAGTGTTTGCACAATAGGTTTTTGGTTATTCTGCCAATTCCAGCACCGCAATCTAACACTCGGCCATTTGAAGGACCGTTTTCCATTCGAAACAATTTTCTGAGGAAAAGATCAGAATCCTTGATATCCTTAGTTGTCAAACAGGAGAACCCTCCGAGCATACCATTTACAGAAGCGGGGACATTGGACCAATATTTTTTACTCTTTTCATAATCCAATTCATTCATATTTATTATTTATCGACGTTGATATCGTGTAAGTGATCTCGGAAGGGTAAACGATTATTTTTCAAAGCAAAATTCAATTAAAAATTAAACTTGTATAAAAAAGTAATTTAACCCATTCATTGGATGTAATTTGATTTTTACAGCACTACAACTACACAAGCACAGTCGCACAGAACAATTTTAAATATTTTCTTATTTAATACCAGCTTCAGTCATAAATAGTATAAATTTAAAATTCAAATATTGTTCATATTTTGAACAATTACTTTTTTCAAGTCCAATTATCAATTTATGAAATTATATTATCATCGTAGTATCACACTATCACCAAAGAATGAAGTCCTATCTCTATGTTCGGATGTAAACATTGAAATCAAAGATAAGACGTGTAAAAAAATAAAATTGATTAAAATATGGGTAGAGCTATTTAGTATTTACTCATTACTGACTGCTGTCGCCTGTCACTATTGTTATTCATTACTATAGTCTACAGTGAGTAGTGATTGAAAGTATTTTTGAAAATTTTAATATAAATTTGATTGGCTGGAGATCGGAATCTATTCCATTTTATATTTCTTATTTTAAAGCCCATTTCGTCTACCTACTACTGATAATGACGAAAGTATCTTTTTCGACGTTGGCGTATTGTAAAATTGTCGCCCATGCAGCCAAATATCCTCATTGTGAAGTAAACGGCCTACTGGTTGCCGAAAACTCGACCAAGGGCGATAAATTGGTTATAGTGGACACTGTTCCATTGTTCCATCAGTGTCTTCACGTGTCTCCGATGTCAGAGATCGCTTTGATGCAAATCGATCAATCAGCCAGTACATGTGATATGTACATTGCTGGATATTATCTAGCCAATGAGACGTTGGATGATTTAAGGTACCTAACGTCTAATTTTTTAATGTTTGCGTTGCATAATTATTATGTTATGAGTTATATACAAACGTATAATGTATTAAAGTGTACTTGTAAGAACTAAATAAGTACCTATCATGTTAATATTTTAATGGATTTAATAAAATATGTATTGATAGTCTGGTGATCAGTAATTGCTTCAACTTTTGAGAACAAGAATAAACTGGATGCGTGTTAATAACTTAGACAAAAGTAGCAATAACTATTTTTACTACATTCTTTTGCAAAGATTAAATTTAAAAATATAAATCATATTAACGAATATTTCCTAAATTGTTAGAAAATAGATACATTAAAAAGTAATTTTGTAGAAAAATGTTTCTTGTGTAAGCTAATCATTATCATACCTAATTTAATTTGTCATAGATTAGATTTATTTAAGAATAATTTATTGTTGCAGTATTATTAACTTGTTATTATATACATTTTTCAAATATGTTTTAAAAATTATAAGAGTTTTGATTTTGTATAATTATAAAAAGCTTAATTTAATTTAAGTTATATTTCACTACAAAATGATCATTCTGGAACTTAAATTATCTAAAAATCTATTCTTATATTTTTAATACTTACTTTTATTGTAATATTTTAATTGTTTTTAGTTATGATAAACCAGCCCATAAGATTGTGGATAAGATTGTTGAACATGAGTCAGATGTCTGTATGGTTGTGGTTAGTTAAGTTTTTTTGTTTTTAATATAATATTTTTAATTTTAATAATTAAATATTAAATTTTAGATCAATAATCGATTAATGGAGTTAAATCAAAAAGAAAGTGCACTAATAGTGCATACACAAGATGATGGAAAATGGAAACGTTTGAATAACTCAAAGTATGAATAGTAAAATAAATAATAATTAATTTTATTACTACAATTAAATCATTATTTTTATTATTTTATTTTTTTTTTTTTAATTTAGCGTACAAATAGAAAATGTAACACTGGCAGCTGCATCAGCTGTATTACAACAACAGTTATATAATAATTTGGTAGATTTTGACAATCATTTGGACAATTTGTCTTTAGATTGGCTCAATGCCGAATTTTCTAATTGTGTGGAAAGAACATCGGGACATGACATAGGAAGAAGGCTGATGATCAATAAATCAGTTTCTTGACAATTGGAATGGGATGAGGGAATGAAACAAATTAAATTTTGATAAATTAATTTTAGATGATTATCAAAAATTTTTTATTTTAGTTCAATTATCAAGTATTAATGATTATTTTGTTTTCATATTATTATTTGTTATTTCAAAGGGAAATTATGTAAACCAAATTGTTTTAAATTCTTCTAATTATACATAAAAGTTAAATAATTAATTTGATTAGTACTTACTAAAAATAAATTATTTCACGATATCTTTGGGATTTGCCATTTTTTTTCTTTCTAAATTTCTTTTGTTATGCTTTTAGCTACTTTTAGTATTTTTTATGTTACTTAATATAATATATTGATATATACTTTATAATGGAATTATAAAATATTTTTTACTACGATTTTGTCTATAAGACTATAATTATAAATGTATTTGCCATTTATATAGTTTTTACAAATAACACATACAATTGTGCGTATTGTATAGAAAAAAATTATCATTTCACTAACAAATAACATCATTTACATTTTTGAAATGTTAATGATTTATACACAGAATATAAGGGTATATAATTTATATTTACATTTAGTAAATTGCAGTAATTTTTGTTTATTATTTTATAATTCATACTTAATAAATAAGTATATTTTATATGATATATTAAATTTATATAAAATATTGATATGGAATTTGTATGTCTTGGTAAAAATTTTTTTAGATATAGCTGTATAATATGTATTTATAAATCACACTGGATTAATTTTTTTGAAATAAATGAACAACAAATAACTTGTTACTTTTTAGTATGTATAAGTATGTAATAATAAATCATAAAAAACCATAATGATTCTTAGGTATCTTATTGAAAGTAATACATTTTTTATTATGATTAATAAACAAATAAAATGTAATTTCATTATAATTTATAATTAACAATATCTACATGAAAAATTTGAATGTGAATTAAAGACTTGTTAAAAGCCCAACCGAGTGTAGTTATGAATTTCATCCACTAAACTTAAGTTTTAAATACATGTTAGAGTAGTTTTTAGTTTAAGGTTATTTTATGATAATTTTATTTATTGATAGTCGCTTCATAATAATTGTTATGTATAAAGATGTTGCTATATTTGGTATCTATTCATTTTGGCAGGTACAGTTAAAACACAAAAAACAAATGGTATTAGTTTTAACTGAAGATTCCATTAGGTATTTACAACTCAGTCGATTCCATGTCTTACCAGACCGCAACATGATGTGGTCAAGAACACTTGTTTAAACCAGGTCCTTCAAAATGCATAGTATGGCTCTGGTGACCATAATCAAAGATAGTGTCGATTAAAATGAACCAAGGTCTAGAAGGTCTAGGTAGTAATTAGTAAATATTACTTAAAGCACAAATATTATAAAATATTTAACTGTCAATAAATGTTTTTGTGCTTTTGTTGAATAATTGCCAATAATGCATATTTTTACTTATTTGATATTAAAGATATATATAACATAAATTAAATAATTTTTTCATATATATTTTTAAATTAAATAATAAACAGTATACTACCTACTTAATAAATTAATTAAAAAAATTATTAATATTTAATTAGTTTATATTTATTTGTATACCTACTAACACTAACAGTACACAATTATAATTTAAAATAAAAACTATTACAAAAAGTTATAATTTGTACCATTGAATACAAAACATGTCTAATGACTAATTAATACGAATCAATAAATAAGATAATATAGATATAAATATAAATATCACTATAGTATTTTACTTGTACTTATTCAATATTATAGTGAAATAATTATTATTATAAATTATAATTTTATATTAAATTATATTATCAAAAAATACAAAAAAAGTTCAATCTGGAAATTTTAAATAAAGTAATAAATAATGGATGTTTTTGATCAAATGCACCACATATATAGCAGAATTACTTTTTAGATGTTCATACATCCATCAACAACTACCATTTAAGGTTTGAATTTTTTTAAGCAATTTATACATTTTTTTTTCTTTTATTTACTTAATAATGAATCAAAAAAATCATTAAAGTGTACCTAATTTTGAAAATATTTAGCTTTATCATTATTTTTAAAAATAGCTCCACACAAAAGTGAAATCATGTTATTTATAAATTTTTCCTGTTCCAATATTTAGCAGGTAATTAGCACGAAATTTTATAATAAAATCTAAAAATTATTTTACAAAATTTAACTAATATGTCTAAATAGGTAATTCAAAATAATTGTTTTTTAAAATCGAATAATATACCAGTGAATTTACAGAAATGACATCAGCATGTTTATAAAATTTACTGTTTAGGTTCTCTAATCCCTAGCAAAAATCAATAAATGGTTAAGTAAAGCTAATTTTTAATACTAGTTACATAGTTGTAGCATATACTGAGGTGAAATCAGTTCAGCATTCGGTCTTAAAAATTTGAATCCCGAACTTTTGTGTAAGTTACAGAAAAGTTTACGTAGTAGACAGTAGTTACTAGTTATATTTCATCATAAAATACTCGTAGCTACAAAATCTTGTGAATATTTCGTAAAAAAATTCAGAATTTGTAATTCTGGCCTGGCGTAACTGCTAATTACATTCTAAACCAATTTAAATTTCAGACATAACCATAATATATTGTGCTGTAATGTTTCAAATAAAAGCATTAAAAAAAAAAATCATACTATGTTTATTATTTGCGTACATTTCGCAGAAATTTAATTTATTTTGAATTTTCGAAGTAGTGTTGAAAATTATAAATTACTGTAGATACCATTTACCTATACAAATTACAAATCTTAACAGTTCGCTATCACTGTGGTTTTTGTAAGCTATTTATGATAATTAGTTATATTATCTGCTTTTATTTTATAAAATTGTGTAATGTATAATTGTTTATATACAGGTATAATAAAAACTAAAGGATTTTCAACTTATCCGAATCATTTATTGACAATACATCATTGTGTTTAGCAATTTTAATTAATTTTCACGAAAAATGAAGATTCAAAAAATGTGTTTAATGAAACATATGAGGAGTTCTAAAAAAAAATAATGTTAATTTAAGATTGAGTTGTAAAGAATATAAGATAACTAATATTAATTATGTTAATCACGTAACAATGGGAGCGCATCAATATTCTTACATCATACATAAAAAACCAAGAAATTAAAAAATTAAACAAAACTAAAAATAAATATTCAATTTATAGTTGTTATCATATAATACAAGGATAGCAAACCTTTTAAAAACTGTGTGTCAAATCAATATTTTTAGTTTGATTTTATTTGCCTAACGTGTCAAAAACATTTCAAACCATTTTTTTGCTTAAATAATTATTAATTAAACATATAAACAAGATTTTATTTGTTTATATATTTAAGCTTTACTGTATTTACTATTTACTATTACATATTAATACAAACACATAAATTTTAAGAAGTATGCTGTAATAATTATAAACACTAGTTTTTTATGAGAAATCTGTTACTGCATTTTTCCAACTAACGATCAATCCTAGGATTATAATTTCTTAGAAAAGAGAAGTAAAAATTATGAATTATATTTAAACTGGCGTGATATAGGTTCGTCATCCCTGATATACAGGATGGGGCACTGAAATGACCGATTTTAAAAATAGATTTTCTCAGTTGTAATTAAGATAAAATTCTCACTAAATATTATTACCTAGTTTAAAGACAACATGCCATTTTAGTAAACATGGAAGATGAAACACTGGAATGGTGAACAATATGCTTATAAAATAAAATCGTTTTACAAAAATAATGAGTTACGTACTTACGTAGCTACACAGAGTTAAATCTATCTTCGTTTTAATCTTAAACGCCATGATTCGGTACCATCGGCTAAGGCTGTTAATAAGGCTGGATAACCAAATTTGAAGATACGGGTATAGCATTTAAAAATAAACCAGCACAAAATAAAGCCACTCGCACACTTGAAAACATCGCTGTTGTCATAAAGGCTACTCGCATAAAGAGCCCAAGACGTTTTGCACGAAAACATGTGTTATCGTTAAATTTATCCTGTAGAAGTCTACGTCAGATTTTATTCAGCGACCTGAACTTTCACTTATATAAAGTGGTTCAAGAATTAAAACCTGCAGATCTCTATAGCCGCACAACTTTTTGTCAAGAAATACTAATCTGAATGGATGTGATCGAAAACTTTATTCATAATGTTTGGATGTCTGATGAAGTTCATTTCTATCTTGATGGTTTTGTGAATAAGCTAAATAGTCGTTATTGGTCTGAAGAAAATCCTGGCCTACTTCATCAACGAATTTTACACAGCAATAATCGAGTAATTTTATGGTGTGCAATTTCAAACTATGACATTAGGTAAATATATTTATTTATTTTATTATTACTTAAAAATAATAATCATAAAATATAAAATTTTTACTAACCACCTACATTATAATATCTTGTACATTGTAAAATTTTCAAAATATTTTCATTATTTTTAGACAATTTAAATTTTAAATTTTTTCTTTTTAAAAAAAGCTGAAAAAATTATCGATAGACAATTATGCCTAAAAATTTAACATGAGGTTCCTCGTCAGTTTTTTATTTATTAATTTACAATTAAAAAAAATGTATAGTCATAATATTTTTTTATACATTTTATACAATTTTGACTAAATTTGACTAAATCTATAAAATAAACGAATTATTTTTAGTTAGAAATTCTAAAAAATTATGTCTTTTTATGCCTAGAATTAGTAGAATTTGAAAATTTAACATAAGAATCTTTATTAGTTTTTACTCATAATAAAAATAAAAAGTTTTCCGGAAAAACTTGATTTTTTTTATAACTAAAATTCAAAATTAAATATTTATTTTTCACTCAAAAATAACTATTTCTTTTCAAACGATTTTTATATTTTGTTTTAATTCAAAAACGAATAATCGTAGATACTTCAAATTTTGGCCATTTTTTTATGACAGTATTTCTTATACATAATAATATTTTCAAAATATTTTGAGCAATTAATAGTCATTTGAATTTTTCAATATTTATATTTTTTTTACTTAAAAAGATGAAAAAAAATAGTTCGCTGGGTTCAAATACTTGAATTTTAAATAAAATATCTTACATAACTTATCCTTATGTCTGAATAAACATTATAAAAATAAATAGACACAATTTTTTTATATTTATATTTGAAGTTCATGTTTTTTACAAAATTTATAAATAAATAAAATCTTTATCTAAGGTTTCTCGTGAGTAATTTTTACTGGAACTAAAAAATCTAAAAGGTATATTATATACACAGTTATTTTTTTTTAGATATTTATAGTTCAAATTTAAAAGAAATTATACGTATATTAACGATGTTAATTATTTTTCTTTTACTCAAAATTATTATTTGTAAGAACATTAAACTTTCATGTATGTCATACAATAGCAATGGCATGTTTTTGATATATTTCGAAAGTTTCTAAAAGTCCGAAATACAAAAATTATTCGTGGTTTGACCAAACTAATATGTGTGTCCTAGGTTTACCGATACTCGGACTTTTATCGCAACATTCACATAGTTACATAATATTGCTATGAATAAAGGTTTACCTATCAGCTACCATAAATCATTGATTCTAGAATTAATTATTCTATTCTATAAATTATAACCAATGCCATAAACCTAATATGAAATATGAATACTCGTTGTTATAAACTCTTATGACGGACCATTTTTTTTTTTTAATATTATTGTAGTAAATTAATAAAAAAAATAAAATATACTAATCTAGTAATCTATACTAAATTGTCGTTATTTAGTGTAGATTTATTTATTAGTTATTTTTAATACTTTAATAGATCTATAATATGTTGCCAGCGTATACAAAAATATATTTCACTCGTTGTGTTTGGGACAACACTGTTGTTATCACTGATGGAATGGAATCAGTGGAATCAGCGGTTCTTGGTGTTTCCCGGGTTTATTACTGTGTACTCTGTAGACTGTAGATACTGTAGGTGTAGTACTGTAGTCATGTAGAGTACCTAAATAGCTAAATAGTGAATAGAATAATGTAAATTGTTCAATTGTTCATTGTTTAGTTTTAATATTTCAATTTTTAATAGAAATTTAAAAGTTTTAAATTGATTTACACTCAATTTACGTATAACACTATAGTATTTACTAATTTGAATTTCAATATGTCTTCTAAAACAATTGATCAAGACGATTCAGAAAACTTCAAAATTCTTGTAGCAACAGATATACATTTAGGTTTCGAAGAAAAGAATTTAATTCGAGGTGAAAAAATATTACTTATCTATAACGTGTAACCTGTACTAGCCATATACGTTATTATAATATAATTGTGTATTAGAATACTGTATTATATTTATTATAAAATTTAATATACCTAAAATTAGTATAATATCATAATTTTTTTATTAGAAAATAGGTACGAGATTTGTTAATTTTGTGTAACACACCTAAATTACCTAAACATTTGATGTCGTTTTTACATACTTAAGAAAATATATTTATTTTTTTAATCAAAATTGTTAGCATATTTCCATTTCACTTAACATTTGACTGATCTTTTTTTTACCTAATTTTAAGAAAAAAATAGGTTTGTATAATACCCATTTATTTAAAATTGTTGTTTTAGCTGATGACACATTCAATACATTTGAAGAAGTATTACAATTAGCAGTCAAAAATAAAGTTGATTTTATATTGTTAGCTGGTGATTTATTTCATGTCAACCAGCCTTCAGTAGCATCTTTAGAAAGATGCATTTCTCTCTTGCGTACTTATTGTTTGGGAGACAAGTAAATATTTCAAGGATCTTTAAAATAAACTTAAGTCTATAAGCGTTGTATTATGATCATGATAAAAAATAATTGACTAATTAATTAATATTACCTCAGATAAAGACTGGTATGAATAAAATATTTTACAACTTTCTGGTTTTATTTTTATAACATAGACCTATAAATATGGAATTTGTTTGTGACCAAGCTGAAGTATTTAAACATTGCAATCATCCCATTGTCAATTTTGAAGACCAAAATTTAAATGTTTCAATTCCAGTTTTTTCAATTCATGGCAATCATGATGATCCATGTGGTAAAATATTTTAATATTTTATGTTCTTAATAAATTAAAAAATAATTGACATGTAAACCAAAACTTTTTCAAGGCTATAGAGAGATGTCATGTATGGATTTGTTAAGTTCCATGGGATTAATTAATTACTTTGGCAAGCAAACAAATCTTCAAGAGCTTAAAATAAATCCTATACTTTTAAAAAAAGGTTCAAATAAAATTGCTATTTATGGTTTGAGTCATATCCGAGATGAAAGATTGGAACGACTATTTAAGGATAAAAAAGTATTTATGAATCGCCCATTAGAAGATGTAGATGATTGGTTTAATATATTTGTGTGCCATCAAAATCGTGTAAACCGGCCAGGTACAAAATATTTATCTGAAAAATGTATTCCAAGTCATATAATGCTCACCATTTGGGGACACGAACACGAAAGTTTAATTGATCCTGTTCGAGGGGACTCAAGTTCAGGTTATATTTGCCAGCCAGGTAATAGAAATAATAATCTATTTGTAAAATTATAACAGCTTAAATTAATAATGTATAAATAATTTTCTGTACATAATGTATTGAAAAAATTACTATTTTACTATTAGGTAGTACTGTAGCAACATCTATGTGTGAAGGAGAAGCAGGTACTAAATATGTTGGACTGTTAACTATAAGCGGTAAACGTTTCAAAATAGAACCACTTGAATTGAAAACGGTTAGGCTGATGCATTTTGAAACGGTAAAATTGTCAGAATGTGATGAAGATGTTAGTAATTCAAAAAAAACTCAAGATTTTGTAAGAAGAAAAATTGAAGATATCTTATTGAGTTTGAGTCTTAAATATAGTGGTAGGTTTGAATTACTTATTAATTTATTTTATTTTTATTAATAAAAACTAAAATTAATAATTTTGTGTTATGAACCCATTATCACTCATAATTAATTACTTAAAATATAACTTCCCATCAAATTAATTTTCCACTTTTTTATCTTTGACATTACTATTGCATTCTATTGTTATATATAAACTGTCTCCCATGTAGTTATCCTATTTAAAAAAAATGTATTATATGTATATAATAATGTAATTTATAAAATGCTATTAATCATATATTATAAAACGTGAAGTGGAATCTTCTATAAAATTCAAATCTATTTATTGTTTATTTAAATTAAACTTAACTAAATTATATTATTAATAGTATATATTATAGTTTATTTATTTTATTAATAAAAAAAAAAAAAAAAAAATAGAACAATTTAAGCTATTGTTGCAAGTATATTTTTAAAGTATACTAAGTACTACCAAGTATTACTATTAAATAAGTACATAGATTTCTCAATAATTTTTTTTAACATATAATTTATTAGCTTGTAGAAACTAAATAATACCTATGTATGTCATGAAAAATAGTTTAAAATAATGAATTCATGATGTATCAAATGATAAATAATTATAAATATAATAATTGAAAAGTCACTAAAAATATTAACTTTTTTTGTAATATATTTTTCATTTAAACTTAGATTATGTATAGCCTAGATTCTAAAAATAATTGGTATTTTTTGCTAGAAAAAAACTGTTATTTCTTCCATCAAACCTAAGTTTTTGGAGACAATCATTTACATTGTATGTTCTTTTTAACTTAATTATATATTTGTTTTAAATGCAAATTGTCTCAAATGAATAAATATATGTATATCTCTGCTTATGCATAATGAATGATATAAAATGCTACTAAGATATTGATCTCAATAAATTTTTATTTTGATATACTTTTTAAATTATATTTGTAAATTATTACAGTGGTATGCAATAGTAATAGCAAAAGATAAACATGAGAAAATTAATAAGTCTGGTAGATTAAGTGATTGATTTTGAATATTGGTGACTCCCTCCTCACATCATAATGCATGAGAACTTCAATATTATTTGTTCATGTCTTTTATGTTATCTTTGATATTTGTAGTAAAAATAATTTGGTACTTTACATAATAAACACAATTTCAATTGTTAAATTTGGAATAACATGTAATTTTTTTAACGAGCTAAAAATCTACTTTTTTAAGATAACCTATTAACCATCATAATTCCATTTATTAATCATTATATCTAGATCACCATAAACAACCAAAATTACCATTAATACGACTTAGAGTTGAATATACTTTTGAAACTCAACATTTTAATGGTATTCAATTTGGTCAAGAATTTCAAGACCGTGTTGCGAATTCTAATGATATGATTTTATTAAGAATGGAAAAGAAAAGTGCTCAAAAAAAAACTAAGTGCATTGATGACCAAGTGCTTTCAAATATTATGGACAATGAAGAAGTATTAATCTTACAGATCTAATAATATTAATATAAATAAATTTAATATTTAAAATAATTTTGATTTAGATGGATAATATTGAACATATAGTAGATCAATATTTTAGAACTGCTAATGAGGAAAATCAATTAGAATTATTATCTGTAGATGGTATGGCTGAAGGAGTTGATTGGCTTGTAAATAAATTGCATCCTGATGCAATAAATAAAGTTGTAACGTAAGTATTAAAAAAATTTAAATGCAGAAAGATAATTATTATAAGTTTATAGATATGTCTATAAAAAAATATGGTTTATTTTTAAGTTTGAACTTTTGTTCAAATAGCATTTGTATTATAATTTTTTTTTTTTGTCTTATAGTCATGTTATAAACCATTTGTGTTTTTAAGCTAAACTTAATTATTTACAGACATCAGATGAAGAAAATGAAAAATTATGTTATAAAACAAGAGGATTTAAATGAAAATAATATAATAGAGCACATTAGGAGTTATCATAGTTCTCGCACCCAAAAATCAAAAGATGAAGTTAATGATGTATGATATTAACTTATTGACAAATATTAATGGATTAGTATAGGTCTAAAATAACTATTTTAATTTAAGGTTCGTGAAGTATTAATTTCCCAGCAACATACAACTCAATTATCTAGAACTCAAAATGATTCTGATTCTGACTCAAGTATTTCATATGCTAAATCGGATAATGAAGAAATTAGTAATGATTCTTCTGCAAGTACAAGTATTCAAAATGTTCGAGGAAAAAGAGGTCGCGGTAGCAGAGGATCTAGAGCTACTACCAGAGCTAGAGGAAGAGCAAAAGGCCAGACTAAACTCAATTTTTAAAAAATAAATAAATATTGTCATCTTATGAATATTTGTTCTTATTTACTGTAACTTTATTTGTTTATAAGTTTATTAGTAATAACTTATAGATTATTAATTAGATATTTGTATTGTTATATCCTCAAATAAGTTATTGAGAAAAACTAAATTCTTATTTTACTTTATTTGTAATTATCCTAACAAATAAAATGTAATTATATAATACTATAATCAAGGCTGTATATGAGGGGGGGGTTTTAAGGATTCAACCTAACCTATTTTACAACTAATAAATTTAATTTATCTAAATAACTTAATTATAATAATCTACCATGTGGCCATTTGAGTACCTATATACCTAATAATTTAATAACTATGTTGCAACTCATCAGGCCAAGAATGACTTACAGGTTTAGCTCTTTTGAGTGTTCATAGGCAAATTAATACCGATCCAGCTGAAGTTATTGATCGTTTCACCAAAGAAAAAAACCGACAAATAGATTTTGTGCTATAAAATATTTTTTAAATTAATAATTGCATATAATATAAATTTACTTTAAAATAATTATGATGACGTATTAACATAGTAAAATGTGATTTTTTAAAATAAGTGTTAGTTTTTTTTTTAATTAAAATGAAAATATTATTTTATTTATTCCCCCCCCCCACCAAAAAAAATAAAAAAATTCCAGTTATGGCCCTGACTATAATTGTTAATTGATAAAAACGTTAAGTTTTTCAAGTGTTTTAAATATGTTCAAAATTAATATTTTCTAAAACTAATAAAATAATTCTGAATGTTATTACTGGTTTTTAGTCTTTTAAATGATTAATTTTAAAAATCTATGTTTTTGGAAATTTGAGTTCATATTATTTTAAAATATTAGTTTCTTTTTTGATTTAAGATTGATAAAATCAACAATCAATAATAATATTAAGGAACTCATAATTATATTTTAATTAATGTTATTAGTCTCAATGTAAGAATTACTTTAACAAATTACAGATCAAAGTCAATCAACAGTTGGAATGTGGTTTATTAATTATTTTTACATTTTAGAATAAAAATTATAAAATATAATACATTTCCCAAAAATTGTAATACAAATTATGTTTACTTGCCTCTTTTTTTTTGGAATTCAAAAATGAAAAACTGTAGACTTCAGTACAGTTTTATCATATATTTATACTTTATTCCATAGATATATCAATAAATTTAAAATATTTTTACTTTTTTAGTGCTATATTTGGACATTTTATAACTCATAAGCCATTCTTATATTAGAAACTAGTAACTAGTTACAGATTGGATTGTTTGGAACATATTTCTTTTTGAGTACATTAATATACAAAACCTATTCAACAATATTTATTACAACATTAAAAAAAAAAACAATAACTAATTTTAAAATTAAATGATTAGGTATACACGTCATATATTAATCAGAAAAGTCTGAAGAAGTGTCTTCTGTTTGCATCTGATCCAATGTCGAGTCTATTACTTCATCAACCATAAAGTCGATTTTATACAATTTATCTTCCTTCTCTATGGTATGGCTGACAAAATTAGTCCACATGTCGGATGTTATGCGCTGAATACCATCGTCAAGTAACTTCTGTACATCAGCTAACTCGCACGTAGTATTGTATTCTTTAACGTCATTTTTTACCATCAACCATGCTAACTCAATAGGATTTAGTTCATTATGGAGAGGAGGTAAACGTAAGACCACTTTATTAGTTTTTATTGCTTCTTCATCTATTAAATTTTTATCATATAGAGGTTTGATTTCATTTACCATTTTCATTAATTGACATTTTACAAATGATTTATCGACAACACAATTTTTAGACTTCAACCATTTTATTATGTTTTCCTTTTTCCAACCCATTGTGGGAATAGATTCCTTTTTAAGGGAGTGATATGAAACATCTTCCATAACTATGATACAATTGTCTTTTAATTTAGGCAAAACTCCACAGAACCAGTTGTAAAAGATGTTACTATTAATGCTTTTATGGTAGTCGTTTGCCTTTTTAATCGGTTTAAAATACATTAGACCATCCTCAACAAAGCCTTCGGTTGAACATATATGGACAGCTCCTAAGTATACTTTATCTGTTGACTTATTCAGTTCTGTAGATAATTGCTGCAAAATTAATGTATCTCTAGTACAGTCACCAGTATACATCCACATTTCTTCCAGATAGTATATTGTTCGACCTTCGTTGCGATAACGTCGTATGTCTGTAATGTATTTATGTCGCCATAACACGATATCATTTCTTTCGGTTAATGCCCTGTCTTGATTCTTTTTGGTGCATTTAAAATTCAACTCTTTTAATAATTGATGAAAAGACGATTGAGATACCATAGGAAGGTCTGGATCTTTTTTAATGATCCGTAAAACTTTCTGAAATTTAGGTATTTCACGTTTTAACCAAAATTCATGTATTTTATTTCTAATTGCAATTTTATTGAAAACTTCAACTTTATTGATTGTTAGACAACTTTTATTTCTGTCTGGCGATTTCACATAATCTATTTTTTTGGACTCTAAGTACTCGTTCACAATCTCTGTAATTGAATGAACTTCAATTCTGATTTCTTTTGAGATAGATTTCATTAAATCCTCAAATTTTATATTGTGTTGGTTTTCCATGATTTTACTTTTATAAAGATTAATAATCATATTTTTTTCTCCACTTTCAAATACCTAAAACAATAATAATTACATCATTTTAAGTAATTGCAAATTGAATAAAAATTAAATAATTTGTAAATTCTCACCCGTCTTTTTTTATTAATGGACGAATGTACAAGTATTGCAGAATTTCCCGCATTGGCCGATTTTTTTTCTTCGTTAGAAACATTCATTTTGAAAATATTCAAAAATACAAATAAAGTAAAAATGCAAACGGAAGATACACCAACCGATCAAATCACTAGTCAGTAGTCACTACTCACTAATCGGAGTAATCGGACGTAAAAAGTAAAAACTCTCAACAGTGAAAACGTGGTTTACCAAGTTTACTTGGAGCTAGTCACACGTGGGTCGGAGTATAGTAGTAGTTGGATGCACTGTATCGATTAGACAACTAGCGACTTACTGACAACTGTTGCCTTGTTTGTAGGGCTAGGGCAGTAATCTGTTAAGTTGTCTGTAAAGTTTCATCATACACCTTATTGCCTTTACATTATATTCCGTATAAAGTAGCCAGTAGGTCTTTGGTTGTCATTTTTATTTACTATTTATTTAATTGTCGGGTTGCCAACCGCCCCGATTTTTAGGTTTTTTTTTCTCGCGTCCTGATCAAAATTTATGCGGGACACAAGGAAATTATCAATTTATCTCTTTCTACGATTGTATAAACGATATTATTACCTACTCGAAATAATAGCATCAGTTTTAAGTTTATAACTTATAAATAAAATATTAATATTACTAATTATAATCAATGATATAAGGTTACATTCGTTGTCGAACAAAACAACGTTCTACTTTTTTAATATTTAGTCAGTCACTATAATACTATGACATTTAACATAAGTTATTTGAAATTTGAAAATAATATTTAACCAAGTACCTATCAAGATACCCAGTTACTCAATGCTTATACTGATGTGATAAATTATAGTTTGTAATTAGTGTATTGTGTTATAATTCGTTCGATTAATATCATGTTCAACTCATCAATATCTTTTCGTGTATCTTTCAATTATACAGTAGGTGTCTACTTTTTATTGGTGTTCTGTATGACTATGTGTATATAATAATTAATAATGAGTGACTCCGAACAACAAATTACCATTTACTACTCATAATCCGACGAATAAGGTAAAGCGCCTTTGTACTTTTCGTCAAGTGTGTTACGTTCATATACTTAGCTTAAAAAATCAAAAAATAACAATTTGTATGGTCATTTTAAAGTATGTAAGAAAGATTTTTTAATATCTCATAGTGGTAAATCAAATGTACAACGGCATACATATAACGTTTTACATAAACGAATTGAAAGTTCTAGTAAATAATAAATTTTAAATTAATTTTTTGTAATCAAAAATACATCGAAAATTTAGCAGATTAAAATTTTTCATGACATACATCACCCATAAAAAATAAAAAATATATATCTTTTAACTTTCTCGATTGTGATTTTAAGATCCTTACAAAATTTTTTTGGACGAAATCAGAAGAACTTGTAATTAAATTTTTATATCTTAGTTGCTAGTGTTGCTACAGATACATCTAATAAAGGAAATAGAAAAATGTATCCAATTGTAATTCAATAATTTCGTCTACAAAATGGATGTCACATAAAATGATTAGATTTTTTTTTAAAAAACCTGCGAAATTGCTGCTGTTATAAGTAAAAAGTAACGCAGTTTAAGGGATTCTAAAAAAACACGACTTAAACATATCAAAAGTATCAGCATTTACTGTAGATAACACTAACTCCAATGTCGAATGTCGTAGATCAGTATTTACTCTCTTACCGGTTTTTTATGCCTTGCATCATATTGCATTGCATTCGTTTTTTGGGATATAATTAAACTCTTTGCTGCTTTAGCTCCTTAAGAGGACGTCGTACCCGCATATGTTATCTCCGTCTTACAAATGCGTAACATAGCAAATATTACGTTCAGAAGATCACGGTTAACTCCTTTAAATTGAAAATTAGAGTGAATTGACCTCTTTTGAAGTTGAAAAGTGAGATTATTATCTAGGGCATCTCATAGGCTTTTTATTATATTTTAATTTTAAAGCGAGTTATGTGTGTTTTAAGACGTGTAAGCAATTTACAATTTTAAAATACTCATAACTTGCTTTAAAATTAAAATATAATAAATAGCCCATGAGATGTCCTAGATAATAATCTCACTTTTAAATTTCAAAAGAGGTCAATTCATTCTAATTTTCAAACTGAAGGAGCTAAACGTGATCTTCTGAGAGTACTATTTGCCATGTTACGCATTTGTAAGACGGAGACAACATATGCGGGTACGACGTCCTCTTAATATAACACGGATTATCAGTCACGTAATTTTCCAATATTCGCCAGTACTTCGTTATTAATTTCAGTGTGGACCCATAAACTGTATTTTTAATAGCGTATTCTACCTTTTGTTTATTATTCGATCCCTTTTACATGTTAATTCCGACAACTTAACCAGCATGGGTACAATAGATTTATTTACTATTTCTACTTGACCGTTAGCTCTGGGTGTACCTGATACGACCAAAGTCAAATTCATTGATTATTTTTTTAAAACTTTTTAAAAATACTAGACGTAAAAGACATACCCCAATCCAGTGGCGTATTTACGGTGGGGGGGGGGGGGGGGCCCCCGGGTCACGCCCCCCCTACAAAAAAAAAATTAAAAATAATCATAAATAACTTGCTACGTGGTATCGAGAAAAATAATACTAATTTATATTATGTGTTTTTAATGTTTGTATTACAATATTTTTAAAAATAACTTGGGTTTAACTATTAATTGACATTTATTTTCATAATAATAATGAAATATAATATAATATAAATAATATTATTATTAAATCATAACTCGTATGTATTTTATTATAATGTTATAAACTTTATTTAATATTAAGACCCCCTCCCCCCACAAAAAAATTAAAAATACGCCACTGCCACAATCACTAATTATCTGACAAGGTTTGGAATAAGTTTGGAAATAATTGCATAAATGTTTAATATAACTTCCTCAGATTTAGAATTGTAACATAGGTAAAGACGTACGGACTTGGTAAAATCATCGATTACCACGAAAATTAATTTTTTTTTAACAGACTTAAATGATCTATGCGACTATGTGTAAGGTAGGTACCAAATATTGAAAAAAATATATTATTATTATAATTTCGAAATATTAAAGAGGAAACCTTCATCATCGTCTTACCTCTCACTAGGTTTAGAAAAGACAATGCATTTTAGTCTTTAGACAGTTATCAATGTAATGTCGTACTTTATTCTTCATGTGTTCTGAAGTCAATACACACGGAAGATGTTCTCGATAACTTTTAATAAGCCTACATGAGACATGATGCCATCATGCCATGTATGTATCATTAATTTCCATGGATTCCGGAACGTAAAATCTTATATGTTTATTTCCCTTATGATAAACCAACCCATTACGTAATTAGTAGAATTTATTGTTACTAATTTGTAGTTTATTTTTGATTTTACTAATCTAATCGTCAGTACTTTGTTAAATAGCTAGTATATCTACTCAAAGGGGATAAAACACGATTGCGTACGTTCCTTATTAGTAATACCTTTATATGGTAGGTATAAGTACACGATTGCATACAATTTTACCTGATTATTTTACACTATTGTGTAAAAAGTATTAAGCTTTGACAATTTTATTTATTTATTAATTATTTTACTATTGTTTAGTTATCCTCATTAAGTATACTTTGTTAAGTGCATAGGATTGCGAGAGGAAAGATTTTTAATTAAAGGGTTTGAGTGGGCGGAATGATGGTTGTGGAATTTTTTATAAAAGAGTTTAGCTTCCTTATGAATTGTTTTTAATTTCAGGTCTGTGTGGAGAGTATGGTTTGATATGTATGGAGAGAATTTATTAATTTTCTTAACGCAATGTTTTGGAAAAATTAAATTCTATATAAGTTGTTTTATTGCGCTCTTATTATACTAAGATGGTGGATCCACGATAAAGTTTCATTTAAAGTGAAACTAAGATATTTTACTATAGGAGAGGGTATAATAAGGGCACCGTATAGAGATACCTCTCGTGAAGGAGCTAGTATCATTGTAGAGGTGGTGTAAATACACTTACTATGGATTATATTAAAGTATCTTCATATAGTACATCAGTTCAGCAAAAGGTATAGGTGAGTTTGAAGGTTTATAGAAGCTAAACAAGCACAAAGTGTAAATGCGTAAACACGTAAACGCACACAAGCGTTAAAGCGCATACGCGTAATCGCGTAAATGCGCAAACGCGCAAATGCGTAAATGCATGAATGCGCAAACATGTAAATGCGTTAACGCGCAAAAGCCAATAAAGTTAATGCGTAAACACATACTCGCGTAAATGCGCAAACGCGCAAACGTGTAAATTTGTAATTGCGTAAATGCGTGAATGCGCAAACGCATAATCGCGTAAATGCGAGAATGCGCAATCGTGTAAATGCGCAAACGCGCAAATGCGTAAATGCGGGAATGCGCAAACGTGTAAATGCGCAAAAGTGTAATAAAGTATATGCGCCAACGCGTAAACGCGTAAATGCGTGAATGCGCAAACGCGTAAATGCGGGAATGCGCAATCGTGTAAATGCGCAAAAGTGTAATAAAGTATATGCGCCAACGTGTAAATGCGTGAATGAGCAAAAGCGTAAATGCGCAAACGCGTAAACGCGTAAATGCGAGAATGCGCAATCGTGTAAATGCGCTAACGCGAAAAGCGCAAACGTGTTAATGCGCAAAAGCGTAAATGCGCAAACGCGTAAACGCGTAAATGCGTGAATGTGCAAACGCGCAAATGTGTGAATGCGCAAACGCATAAATGCTCAAACGTGCAAATGCGTAAAGGCGCAAACGCGTAAACGCGTTAATGTGTGAATACGCAAAAGTGTTATAAAGTAAATGCGCAAATGCATAATCGCGTAAATGTGTGAATGCGCAAAAGCGCAATAAAGTTAATGCGCAAACGCGCAAATGCGTAAATGCGTGAATGTGCAAACGTGTAAATGCGTAAAAGCGTAAATGCGTAACTGCGTAAATGCACTAACGCGTAAAAGCACAATAAAGTTGAAGCGCAAACGCGTGAATGCGTAAATGCGTGAATGCGCAAACGTGTAAATGCGCTAACGCGCAAAAGCGCAATAAAGTTAATGCGCAAACGTGTGAATGCTTAAATGCGCAAACGCGCAAACGTATTAATGCGCAAAAGTGTAATAAAGTAAATGCGCAAACGCATAATCACGTAAATGCGGGAATGCGCAAAAGCGTAAATGTGCAAACGCGTAAATGTTCAAACTCGTTAATGCGTAAACGCGTGGGTGTAGCGAGGACTAGGGTAAATTATTTTGGAAGAGATTGAGGCCTACAATAAATACTTTTTTTTTCGTATTTGTAAGTTGGCAGAATATTTTTGAGATCTCTCCATGCTTAATTAATAATTATGTATTTTCGATATTTTTAATTTTTGCATGAACAAGAACAACTTATAAAGACTTAAGTACTAATTAGTATTATAGTGGTATTAAATTTTTAAACTTTTTAATTCACAAATAAAACGTTACCTATTAATTAATACTAATACATCAATGGGAAAAGAGCTAAAATAAATTAAATATTTAAAATATTTATAAGTAACTTAAAAAGATCCTAAATATTTTGATAATTTTATTTTGTCTTGAATATACTAACGCCAATGCGGACACTAACTTCTCATTTTGTTGATATCTAAATTGTATGTTTTTTCCCCCTTTCTTTCTTTCTTTAATTATTGTTGTCATTGTACTATTTTGTACTTATTTATTATTAATTTAAATATTAAATGTATTATAATATCTAAGTATGTAAAAAAGGGCTCAGTCCGTAAAATAAAATAAAATAATCATTTAATGAAAATATAAGTCTCTATAACTATACATTTAAAATTTTTTTTTAATATTAAAACTAAAATGTTTGGTTAAAATTCTCATATCATTGTAGGAACAATATAAATTTCATATATTATTCATATCTTTATTCAAAATATAATACATTTCTTTCTAACAATATTAGATATAACCAACTAGTTACCACTTACCAGCACCGATTATAAATTTGCCAAAATCACATGTTCATGTTATCTTTTGTTTTTTCACATTTAATAGTGCGATTTCTCATTCTAGTTTATTTTAAACTAAAATTGCATTGAATTGTTTTAAAATTATCTATGTTTTTAGAAAATAAATATTGTGTATGAACGATTGAAAGATTTATTATTTTAAAGAATAGCACTAAAATAATTTATTATTATTACAAGATAATGATTAATATGATTGTATAAAATCTAAACTATACCAACGATGTAAATTTGGTGTTTTAATCGTAACCTGACGGATGATAACATTACAGCAAAAAATGTCTCCTAGACAAAGAAAAAATACAATATAAATATTTTAGTCGGTCTATTTAATTTTTTCTACACATAATATTTTATATGAAATTTGTACACATTAATTTTTTTTCAATAAGATTACATGTAAGTTAAGTTAATTTTAATTAGAGATGATATTATGCATGTGTTCTATTTTTTTTTATTATTGTCTTGATCTTTGTATGTATAGTTTGCTATTTATCATTTAAATTGTGTTAATTGTGATTTTGTGTTATTGTTTAATGATATATAGCCATATAGGTATAAACTGTAAGTATAAAAATAATTAGCTTCACTATGAATACATATTATTATAAGCTCTAATATAGGCGGATATTTGATTGAATTTTAGTGGGAGGAGCTTAAATCTTTCTTTGTATTGTTGCAAAATAAGTACTTATTTTATACTTTGAAAAATGTTCAATAATGTTGGGTAGAGCTTTTAATTTTTTTTTTTTTGGTGGGGAGGGGGCTCATTTTTTGAACAACAAAATTTAGCTTTATTATCTACTTTAAAACTTAAACTAGTAGATACCTTTCAGTTTTACCTTTAAGCCATATGCTGTGCAATTAAAAATATGTCGTTTTATTATTGCAGACGATGACTGCTGACTGCCCATTTGGTATAATAATAGGTTATAGTTAATTATTTGCACCACATAATATACAAATCTAGTTCACAAATTAGATCAATTACTAACATTTGCCTCACAGAATTTTTTTTTAAAATTATTTCTGGTTGATTTTTTTTCTATTGAACTACATATTTATTATCAAGACATCTTGCACACACCTATTTATATAATTTTAAAATAACGTAGAATTATTACAAAAGCTATATTGATTATTGTTATTAATTATTATACATTAAAACGAATAGTTAATTTTGGTATATCTATTAATTAATTTTAATAATTTATATTGAAAAGATTTCAAACTCGCATGTGTTGTATATGTTTAGGTTAGGTTAATAAACAAAATCAAATATAATAAAACTTTAATGTAGCAAGTTTGCATTTATTAGATCTAATTTTCTGTAGTCACTATTGTTATTTATTTAATATTAAAGTGAAGAATATGGGGTGAATTAACTTATTTTCAAATTTAAAGATAATAATACATTTTTTTCGATACGCATGTACCTATATGTACTTAAATCTAAAAATTTGCTTGAAGATTATATAACAATGCATATATTATACGACTGAAATATCATCATGATATTTATGATATGTAAGCCGCAAGGCTGTAGGCAGTGGAGGGTTAGGATTCAGACCTCCCCCGAAATTATTTCTTGAAATACAATTGAATAGATGGTTTTAAATGCCTATTATATATGAAACTCGTACATCGTTTTATATTCTACCTCCTCTCCCAAATATTTTGCTGACTACGGCCTTGCTAAGCTGTTTGAGTGAGAAGAGTTTAAACTTCAAAATATACAATTTTGGCACTGTTTTATTGGACAATGGGTAACTCTCGCTTTAAATTGTACATATATTTTTATAAAATGGCAATATAAATATTTAAGGAATAAAAAAGTCTAATGACTATATCGTCTATCAGTGTGTGACAGTGTGTAATGTGTATTCTGGTCGTTTTAGCGGTCTTATAGTCGTAATTTTTATAGTTTCTCGTTCATTACTTAACGTAAATATACGTAAAAAAGTAAATATAATCATGTAATATATATAATATACCTACAAATATAAGCGTTTATATCATGCACAGATTTACTTTGAGTGTATGTAGAATATTCGTTTCGTCGAAAACGGTATAAACTAGCAAACTAGGGTTATATGTTATGTTATACCAACGGCTTTAGTTTATCGTATAAACTTCGATTATAGTTTCTTAGTTCAACACGAATTTGATTTATTGAAATAATAATAATAATAATAAATACTAAAATAACTAAAATAAATGATAGTAGCTATAATCATATATGTACCTACATAGGTTTCGACAATTAAAGCATTTTAATGATAAAATAATTATTTATTACGTGATATAGGTAGGTATTTTAGTGTTGGAAAAACTAGAAGAAAAAATTAAGCGCTCCTCCCGCTAAAAAAATATACTGGTTATGGCACAATTATATTATATTACTTGTACAGTTGTAGGTACGAGTAACAATTGTATAACGCGTTGGTATTATAATGTATTATAAGTTATAACACTTGTGTTAATAGCGTCTGCTGCAGCTCACCATTTGTCATTTTGTCATTCGTTTAAATGCAATAATAAGATCTTAAATAAACTATAGGTGACTTGTGTCTATTGAATAAACAACCATGAATCATTTTCTATTGCCTTATGACCTATAAATTATGTTATGAGTGTTCGTAAACCATATTTATTTTAATACAATTATGTATATCAATACCATTTAGAAAAATATTATTTGAATTCAATTTAAATTAAATATTTTTTTAACAAAAATAATCTACCTTGTATATACTTCATAAAAATGTATGTTTTGTTCTATAATTATTATACTAGATATATTACGGGTTAATAGAGAAATATCTTTATTTTAGTATATAAATTTACAATATTAATCCGATTGATTATTTTCTTTTAAGGGAAGTTAAATAATGTTTTGGCGGACTTAAACTTTTCCTTCTAATTACACTTATAGTGTTTACATATCTGTATATTATGTATGTAGGAAATAGGAATACAGCATAGTAGATTTTCAATATTCAAAAATGCGCGGTAAAGAGTGCAGTACGGAATAAAACGTTAGAGAAATTTCCAATTGTCAGATGTGGCGTAACTGTCACATCCCCCTCTCAAAACAAACGATGCATCGTGGTAAATGCCGAATGGCAAATGGTAATGTACCAATGTCATAATGACTGTAATAAATAATGACATCATCGCGTCGTTCTTTTGAGTCTTTTGACCGATACTTTGCTATGACGAGTATAATTTGAATATCTGTATTATTATCTTAATTCGTTGTTGACTTGTTATGTTTTGTGACTGCTACCGATACGATCATACAAACCGTCAGAAGTATATTTTTATTACTTTATCAGTATAATACTTAACGTGTGTTCGTTACTTAATTCGGCAAAGGCAAATGGTTTGTTCAAGCCGGCAGTCAGCCGTTTCGTGTTGTAAACGGGCAAGCAATTGAGTCTAGACTTATTCAAAGGTAAGAGTCCGAACGTTCCGGCTTTTCGACTTGCGCGTTCTCGATAATGTAATTAAAAACCTCCACTGATAATTCGTTGTAGTGCGGTTTCGGTGTAAACGGGAGAGAGCGGGGCATCATATAATATATAGGTAACATTAATTTTTTAATATTTCGCCGATCGGGTAACTTATTAGTTTTTAAAGTGTAGACTAGTGTATTTATTTTGTTCTATCTGTAAGGGTGTGAGACGTTCTTCGTTAACAACTTCGGGTCTACACTATGGTCGTCGGTGTTCTGTAGTCCCCCTGTCCCCTCCTCACTAGATTAGGTTAGGTTTGTAAAACAAACATTTTGAACATGAATTTTTTGAGGTTAGAACATCGTTTTAACCGTTTGTGTTGCTCATTTTTTGTGCACCGGTTCCCTGTCAAACTGCCCAAGTAAAAACCCTTTCACGAAGCGATTTTATTCACTGTGACTAGCAAATCAGCATGCGCCGTTCTCAAAATGCCCGCGACGCTACGGTAATGCCGTACCTACCGCATGCGCTGGTTTCATTCAAGTGACGACTCTGACAACTGGCATTAATGTTCGACAAGACAAAAAAAATATTAACCCGGTTGTCCTAATTTTTGCCGTTGAATAGTAAATGCCACTTATATTTCTTTATTTTTGTTTTTGTAGCATAATTTTTGTGATGTATTATAATAGATTGATACTCGTTGATGTAACATAATATTTTGAAGTTTGCTTATGTTCACATAACATAATGTTTATTTTCTTTTTTTTGTTTTAGAAAAATTGATCAGAAGACTTCATCATGTATTTGTATAATATGACATTGCAACGTGGTAGTGGCATTACGCATGCTATCCATGGCAATTTCAGTGGTGGAAAAGTACAAGAAATTTTAGTATCTCGTGGAAAATCTTTAGAGCTTATGAGACCAGATACAAATACTGGCAAAGTCCATACATTGCTAACTGTAGAGGTATTTGGAATTATTCGTGCTTTGATGAGTTTTAGGCAATCTGGAGGCACTAAAGGTAAAATACTGTTTTTTTCAACCATGTTATAATTACCTTCACATAGTTTTTTTTTTTTGTTTTTTGTTAATAATTTATTTTTTATCTCTACATTTGTGTTAATGTTAAATTATTTATTATTAAGTCAGGTTCATACAGTGTTAATAAAATAAAAATAAAACAATTTAGATAATTCTATCCTACGTTTCTATGCACAGGTAAAACTGATTTAACTCAATTCGAATAGGTAACCACTAGAGTTAAATTAAATGCATGTAAACGGTTGTTAATTCGGTTTAATTAAAATGGTTTAGTTAATTCACATTTGAAATAACTACATGTGTACAAAATGCATGTAAACGTATACATTATAATAACCAAATCTGGATTACAATGTAGAGATAATAAAAATAATTAATTATTAATTTGAGTTAAGGTAAATCGGTTTAAACTGTGCATGTAAATGTTGCAACGTAAATTGGTTAGGTAAAAGTGTATTATACTAATATGGTAATAGATGTGCATGTATACTTGTACCTTAATACAAATTGATTCAATACGGATCAAGTTAATTGGAATTAATGGATGCATATAAACAAGGTACTAGTCTATGGACTGATGTGAAAGTTGAATTTTTGTTTACTTTTAATTAAGTGTAACACATGGTGTGTTGTATTGCTTAAATTTTTGTCTAATTTCGAAAACAAGTTTCATAGTAGCAGAAGAACTCTAGTTTTCAATCCACTTTTATCCCTACATAATAAATGTTAAATCAATTATAGACTTCTTCAATTTTATTTCATACTATAGAAATTAGAAATCAACATTTTTTGAAATACCTATATGTGTTTACATTATGTTTTAGATTACATAGTTGTTGGTTCTGATTCTGGAAGAATTGTTATATTGGAATATCTGCCTTCAAAAAATGTTTTGGATAAAGTGCATCAAGAAACTTTTGGAAAGAGTGGATGCAGGCGAATTGTTCCTGGACAATATTTGGCCATTGATCCTAAAGGAAGAGCTATTATGATTGGTATGTCTTAACTAATTATAAATAAATATTTGCTACTAACTTTTAAACATTTATTCTAGGTGCGGTAGAAAAGCAAAAATTAGTATACATTCCCAACAGAGATGCTGAAGCACGACTTACAATTTCATCTCCTTTGGAAGCTAATAAAAGCAATACACTTGTATACCACATGGTTGGAATTGATGTTGCTTTTGACAATCCGATTTTTGCCTGCCTTGAAATTGACTATGAGGTAATTAAAATATAAAATGTTTATAATTGTATTTTATTTTGGAATTTTGTTAATCAAACATTCCTATTTTTAACTGATTTTTGTAAGAATTTATTAATTTTTTTATTTTGAAAATGAAAATAAAAACAAAATATGACAGTCTGATTTAATTTTGGAGTTAAGAGTTATTGAAGTTTTTCATTTTTGTGAAACTACATTAATTATTTCTTTTTTAGTAATGTATATCATATACTAAACTTTAATATGATTTAATACTTAAAAATTCAATAGTTGTTTTGCTCTTGTTTCTTCCAATTTATTCAGCTATGTTTGTTCAAATAGTTTGAATTAATCCCTTGGTTTGTTATAAATAACTTCTTGTAAATAAAATATAGTTCAATAAGTTTTTTAAGGTAGTGTTTAAACTCTCAGTTATAATATTAGTATAGTTTTAAAGATAAATTTCAAAATGGTTGTTTTAAATTCTAACTTTACATAGTTTTTAAGTAAATAACTTCAATAACTAAATTTTCAGTTAAGAGGCAATTAAATATGTATGAAGTTGATTCTAATTTATTTCATTTTTGGTATTGTTAAAAAAATAAGATTTCATATTCAATCTTGAGTTAATTTCCTACTAATTACTATGTAAAATATGATTTAGTCATGTATTAAATGTATTATTTTCTTTTTTCTTGAGTTAGTTAATTAGGTAGTTATTTGTAATATTAACATACATTTTACAACTATTTTAACTGTTATTTATATATTTTAGTAATTGAACTTAAAATCCTTGATTTTATTATAGATAAATACATTTATTTTAATGATATGTTTATAGGAAGTTGATGCAGATCCAACTGGAGAAGCTGTTCAAACTACAAGACAGACTCTTACTTTTTATGAAGTTGATTTTGGTTTAAATCACGTAGTTCGTAAATATAGTGAACCTTTAGAAGAACATGCTAATTCTCTTATTACGGTTCCTGGCGATAAAGATGGACCTGGTGGTGTACTGATCTGTTCAGAAAATTATATTACTTATAAAAATCAAGGAGAACAACCAGACATACGATGTCCGATACCACGTAGACGTGTAAATAGATTTTATTTTATATGTAATTTCAATGTAATTATTATTGCACTATAGGTATCTCTTGTGTGCGAGCATTTTTCCCACACCGGTCGTTAATGAGTGCTACAATAATAGATGCTACTTATTATTTTGGAGTATATTTAATATGAATATAATTCCTTATCAGTACTATCTAACAATAACTAAGTAATATAAGTATATTAAGAGGATAGTACACATCTACGTTTTTTTTTTTTATTTCTTACAAGTACATGGCAATAATATTAAGCTGTTCATATTGAATTTTGTTAGAATTTACTTTTAAATATGAATATTAAAAACAACTAAGCCTTATTCAAACATTATTACCTACTTTAATATTTGATAATTATCAATAAATTTATTTTATTATTTAACATCAACAGTTTAATTTAAATTTGGTATGTTACTTGATTATAAGATGAAAACAAATTCCAGTTTGATATGATATTTATTAAATAGCTTATTTACAATTTTCTTATGTCTTTAAAAAAAATTTAATATTTATATTTTATATATAGTCTAATAACATGTTGATGAAATATATTAATGCACTATAGGTATCTCCTATGTGCGAGTACTTTTCCCACATCGGTCGTAAATTCAGTGCTATAATAATAGATGATACTTTTATATTAAGATTTTATTAAATATAATTTCTTTTTGTAATGTCTTACAATATTTAAGAGTAATATTTAAACTAAAATACCTAATGTATTTTTTGAAAATATGTATTATTTATACTTGCCTCACATTATAAGAATGACTTGACAGTGGCCAATTTCATCCAATACATGCTAGTCAGCTTTTAATTGGTGTTTTAAACTCCCATTCATTACTATGATGAGCAGTGCAGTGTAGGAACTTCTTGTAAATGTGTGACTGGTTTTACTCTTAATGTGTAGAAAGTATAGGTATTGTGTCCATAAATGTAATTATATCGATAATAATACAGTTATTTTAATTCTCAGAATGATTTAGATGATCCTGAAAGAGGAATGATCTTAGTTTGTAGTGCTACACACAAGACAAAATCTATGTTTTTCTTCTTGGTTCAGACAGAGCAAGGGGATGTTTTCAAAGTGACATTAGAAACAAATGAAGAGTTTGTTACAGAAATTAGAATGAAGTATTTTGATACTGTTCCAGTAGCTTCTGCCATGTGTGTTCTAAAAACTGGGTTTTTATTTGTAGCATCAGAGTTTGGTAACCAGTAAGTATAACAATTAAAACTTGATGATAACAGACAAGTATTAATGTTTATAAATTATATAGCTACCTATATCAGATTGCAAATTTGGGTGATGATGATGATGAGCCCGAGTTTAGTTCAGCAATGCCTCTTGAGGAAGGAGATACATTTTTTTTTGCTCCAAGACAATTGAGAAATTTAGTTTTAGTTGATGAAATGGATTCATTATCACCTATAATGGCTTGTCAAGTTGCTGATTTAGGTAATGATTTTAAATTTTTTTACTTTTTCTTATAATATATATATAGTTGGTGTTGCTAATGGGCTATTACCAACTTTCCTATTATAAAAAATTTACCAACAACTTACCATTTTTAATCATTTTGGTTAAAAGTTCAATATTGGTTGGGAAATAAATTCGTTTAACTATCCTACAGCTTAGTTTTTGATTAACCATGTTGTGTGGAAACACTCGATACATTTTTATAATTTAATTAAGTATTGGAATAAAACTATTAATTTTTTTTTAGTAATATTCTCACAGGAACTTTTTCCTTTAAAAATGATGATAAAAATTACACGATTTGGCTGAATGTAACAATGATGCCAGTGTTAACCTGCGGATCTGATTTAAGATTTTAAACAAAAATTAAATAGATTAACCAACAACTTACCATTTTTGATCATTTTGGTTAAAAGTTCAATATTGGTTGGGAAATAAATTCGTTTAACTATCCTACAGCTTAGTTTTTGATTAATCAAGTTGTGTGGAAACACTCGATACATTTTTATAATTTAATTAAGTATTAGTATTAAAATATTAACTTTATTTTAGTAATATTCTCACAGGAACTTTTTTGTTCAAAAATGATGATAAAAATTACACGATTTGGCTGAATGTAACAATGATGCCAGTGTTAATCTGTGGATCTGATTTATGATTTTAAACAAAAATTAAATAGATTACCAACAACTTACCATTTTTAATCATTTTGGTTAAAAGTTCAATATTGGTTGGGAAATAAATTCGTTTAACTATCCTACAGCATAGTTTTTGATTAACCATGTTGTGTGGAAACACTCGATACATTTTTATAATTTAATTAAGTATTGGAATAAAACTATTAATTTTTTTTTAGTAATATTCTCACAGGAACTTTTTCCTTTAAAAATGATGATAAAAATTACACGATTTGGCTGAATGTAACAATGATGCCAGTGTTAATCTGCGGATCTGATTTATGATTTTAAACAAAAATTAAATAGATTAACCAACAACTTACCATTTTTAATCATTTTGGTTAAAAGTTCAATATTGGTTGGGAAATAAATTCGTTTAACTATCCTACAGCTTAGTTTTAGATTAACCATGTTGTGTGGAAACACTCGATACATTTTTATAATTCAATTAATTATTCGTACTATTAACTATTATGATAAAAATAACACGATTTAGCTGAATACGACCATGATTCCAGTGTTAATCTGCAGATCTGATTTAAGATTAACTAAATTTAAATATAAATTAAATGAGTTATCATTAACATTTTTGATTATTTTGGTTATAAACTTAAGTTTAAATTATATTTGTTTTTAATATTTAATGCATTTATTATTTTTTTATTTTAGCTGCTGAAGATACCCCACAATTATACATGGCTTGTGGTCGTGGTTCAAGATCCACCTTAAGAGTTTTAAGGCATGGTCTTGAAGTTTCTGAAATGGCAGTTTCTGAACTACCTGGGAGCCCAAATGCAGTATGGACAGTGAAAAGAAGAGCGGATGGTAAGATTTTTTACACAAAATGTACAGAATTTTGGATTAGTATTTATTTTTAATTTTATATTTTATAATATTTAATAAACTCCCAAAGATTTTATATTTAAGTTATAGGATGTACCAATACTTAATTTATTTACTTAATCTTAGCTGTATTTAGGAAGGTACTTAGGTTATTAATAAGTTATCTTAAAACCGTCCACTCTTATATTTGAATATTCTTATGAAATCTTAAAATCCAATCGTATATTAATGCGCTGGTGAATAGATTATAAAATCTATCAAACATCAGTTCGTTTATTTTTCAGGTATTGAATCACCGTAGTGGCTCTGAATCAAATAGGTAAGTTTTAGAGTTGGACGGGAGTGATTGAAGAAATCCATTTATAAAATAAGAACACTTCCTCAGCCGAAATAATTAAAGAAAAATGAGTTTCTTAATTTATGTTGTAAGATAAATTATAAACTGACAAGAAAATACTGGTGTATAATATTTTCACTGTTTCAGCATCTTGATGTAAATGGGATGAGTCCTAATATTGGACATTCCAACACTAAACAATCAACTAGTTGTCTACTATTGATCACATCATAGCTTAACTTATTTTGATTATATACAACCTGAAGTATCCAAAAGTTTTTTTTTGTATTCATTGATTCTGAGTTTTTAATAATTTATTGATAAACTATGTTTGTTATATTTCTGATAAGTTAACTTTTTTCAATATTAGCCAACTTCATTCTGTTTTTTAAAAGATCATGGTTGAACTGTTTTAAATTTTATTTTCCTTTTTGATCCAAAACTTAATTATTTTTTCCATCTACCAAAATTTGAATCAATATTTTATGATAATTATTTTTTGTTTTCGTTCTTTCAGAAAATTTTGATGCCTATATCATTGTGTCTTTCTCAAATGCCACTCTAGTATTGTCTATTGGAGAAACTGTGGAAGAAGTTTCCGATTCAGGTTTCTTAGGAACTACACCAACACTATCTTGTTCTCCATTAGGTGATGATGCTGTTGTACAAATTTATCCTAATGGTGTGCGCCACATTCGTTCTGATAAAAGAATGCATGACTGGAAAGCCCCTGAAAAAAAGAAGATTGTTAAATGTGCAGCCAATCAACGACAAGTTGTTATTGCCCTTGGTGGTGGTGAACTTGTCTATTTTGAAATGGATCCGGTAAATAAATAACCTAATTTTTTCAAACAAAAATAGTATACATTACAACAATAATGTTTTTAATACTATAATATAAAAATATCTTATTTATATACTCTAGTTAGTTGTAAATAAAAACTATTATCTTTATGAATAATAATATTTAAACAAAATTTATAGATGTTAATATAATGTTATGAAGTCTATTAAGACCATCTAGGATATTAGATATTAACTTAATTGCATCAGTAATATTATGAAATATTAATTTAAATGAAATATTTCAAATAAATTATTTTAAAGGATGCTAAAAAATATTAACAAATATGTCGCCTTCTAAAAGCCGATATATGCTCATTGAAGTGAACCATGTTTGTACATTAACATACAATAAAAAGTTGTATATTTAAATTCAAATAAAGTGAAATTATGCACATTTTATATTTGAATTATTTATTTTAAATTGAATAATTATAATAATTTATAAAAATGATGCAGATATAATAGCAAACATGTCGCCTTCTAAAAGCCGATATATGCTCATTGAAGTGAACCATGTTTAAACATTTTTTTGTATCGTTATTAAATTTGGTTTTTAAATATTTATGTGTATTCAATTATAGTAATTATCTATGATTTTTAATTCTAGACTGGACATTTAAATGAACATAAAGATCGCAAAGAAATGAATTCTGATGTTCTTTGTATGGCACTAGCAAATGCCCCTTCTGGAGAACAGATGTCACGCTTTTTAGCTGTTGGTTTGACTGATGAAACAGTCCGTATCATTTCTTTAGATACTACAGTAAGTGTTAATTTGTTATTATGTTTCTTACATTATAATATTAAAAATTAATCTTTTGTTTAAAGGATTGTTTAGTACAATTAAAAATGCAAGCTATACCAGCTATGCCAGAATCATTATGTATTGTGGAAATGGGTGCTAGTGATGGTGGTTCTTCAGATGAACCAGGAATGAATTCACTATCAATGTTGTATTTGAACATTGGTTTACAAAATGGTGTATTACTTCGTACAGTACTGGATGGTGTTACTGGAGAAATGGCTGATACACGTGCGCGTTATTTAGGAGGCAAACCTGTAAAACTTTTTAAAATCAGAACCAGAGGAAATGAAGCAGTTAGTCTAATATACATTTAACAAATTATGATACAAGTATAGCTTTAGTTATTTATGCATTTAATTTTTTTTATAGGTACTTGCCATGTCAAGTAGATCATGGCTTAGTTATTACTACCAAAATCGTTTTCACTTAACTCCATTGTCATATGAAAGTTTGGAATATGCATCTGGTTTCTCATCTGAACAGTGTCCAGAAGGTATAGTTGCTATTTCTGGTAATACATTGCGTATTTTGGCTCTTGAGAAATTGGGTGCCGTATTCAATCAAGTTTCATTCCCTGTTGAGTATACACCCAGAAAATTTGTTATCCATCCTGATTCTGCTCATTTAATTGTGGTGGAAACTGAACACAATGCATACACTGAGCAAACTAAAAAACAAAGGCGAATACAAATGGCGGAAGAAATGCAAGAAGCTGCTGGAGAGGAAGAACAAGAATTAGCTAAGGAAATGGCTGAAGCTTTTTTGAATGAAGATTTACCAGAAAATATTTTTGGTGCTCCCAAAGCTGGTCCTGGAATGTGGGCATCGTTAGTCAGATTGTTTAATCCAGTTCAAGGCATTACAGAAGCTGTTTATAGGTTCCCTCAAAATGAAGCAGTTATGAGGTTCGTTATTACATGTTAATGTGTTATGTATTGATATTGATTTTTTTGTTTTGCTTTGACTTCTTTTTTTTTGGTATTTTACAGTGTTGCTTTAGTACGTTTTTCGAGTTATCCGGATTCACAATTTGTTTTATTTGGTGTTGCAAATGAACTTCATTTGAACCCAAGACATGTTACTTGTGGATATATATACACTTATAAGTAAGTTAGCAAAAATGTTTTAAAACAAATAAAAATAGCCAAATAAATTTATCTCACTACCTTACTATCTAAAAATTATTTGCTTATTTTGATTAATGTTTATTTTACATTGTATAATATTTATTGTTTTAGAGTTAATCCTACATGCACTTCTTTGGAATTGGTTCATAAGACTACGGTTGATAATGTACCAACTGCAATCTGTGGATTCCAGGGACGTGTGGTAATTGGTATTGGTCGAATTTTAAGACTTTATGACATTGGAAAAAAAAAACTCTTACGAAAATGTGAAAATAAAGTAAGTAAATAAATTATCATACTATTTTATTTAATGTTAATTAAATTGTTACTATATTACAGCAAATACCATTATTAATAATTGGAATTCGTGTTATGGGATGTAGAATATATGTGAGTGATGTTCAAGAAAGTGTTTATATGGTACGATATAAGCGTAATGAAAATCAACTAATTATTTTTGCTGATGATACCCAACCTAGATATATTACTGCAATGGAAATACTTGATTATAATACAGTTGCTACAGCTGACAAATGTGGAAATATTTCAGTGGTATGTAATAATTTTAATTATTAACTTGACTTGAAATTGTATGTTAAGTTCCTTTTATATGGATTAAATGTTGTATACAAATTTTGCTAAGGTTTTTGATAAAATAAATCAAATCTTTTTACTAGATAATTACAGATTAGTATTGATGACTTGTATTCTGATTTATTTCTCTTATTGATAACCTTCATTATAATCATAGCATATTAACAGTTTAAATTTATTTTAATACATGATATTTTGAGTGTTTATCAAGGACCTTAATTTTCAAAATTGTACATTATTGTTAGCTGACGATATCAAATTGAAGTTGATTTGCATGTTTTATCAGTGAATTTAGCTCAGCAATATGATCTTCATACCAATTGGGTCTTAAATGTCTTCTATTTATAATTTAGCAAAAGTTCTTAAAATTCCACTCATTTAAATACATTCCATTTTGTACTTGTTTAAGTGTAAACGAAAAAAAAAAATAATAATTTAAACTTCAATAATTTTAGGTTCGGTTAGCATCATCAATATCCGATGAAGTTGATGACGATCCAACAGGTAATAAAAGTCTATGGGATCGTGGTTTACTTAATGGAGCTTCTCAAAAAGCTGATTTTATTGTGAATTTCCACATTGGAGAAATTTGTACTTCAATACAAGTAAGTGGTTAAATACATTTTATTAATTTAACTATGACAATATTTTTATGTACTATTTTATCATATTTCAAAATATATAAGTATATATATTAAAAAAAAAAAAAATTAAAAAAATTGATTGTCTGAAATGATGTTAATATCTCGCACACGTTAGACTTATGAATTTGAAATGATTTAATTTTTATTATTACTGATCAGACAAATTATAAAAAATGTATTTATGTACATTAATAGTTATTTATCCATAATTATTAATTGGTCCTAATAATGTAAAAATAAAGAATCATAATTTTTTTAATTTAATGAATTTTAATGTAATATATCTGATATAATAATTGTTATACCTTAAATTAATTTCAATCATTTTACTGACAGGTTCATAAGTACAATAATTTAAAAACTGCTTACCGCGTTATTTATTAGTTATAATAATTGTGTTTATTTTTGTTTTAGAAAGCTACATTGATACCTGGTGGTTCTGAATCTCTCGTTTATGCCACTGTGACTGGTACTATTGGTGTTCTCGTACCATTTACTGCACATGAAGAACAAGACTTTTTTCAGCATCTCGAAATGCATATGAGATCTGAGAATCCACCACTTTGTGGAAGAGATCATTTATCATATCGATCTTATTACTTCCCTGTAAAAGTAAGTGAACTAATTAATAATTTGTTTCATATAAAATTTGTTATACTTATTTTTTTCTTTTTAATTTAGAATGTTTGTGATGGAGATCTGTGTGAACAATATAATTCTATCGATATTGCCAAACAGAAAAGCATTGCAGCAGATCTCGACAAAACTCCTGCGGAAGTATCTAAAAGACTTGAAGACATTAGGACAAGATACGCATTTTAAATTATTACCTACTCTAGTTTATTTGTATTATATTAAAAAAAAACAATTGTACATGTAATAAATTATATTTTTATCTAAAAAGTTATTCAGGTCAAGTTAATAAAATGTTTAACTTTGTACAAAGAAGTTCCTGGTCTAAGCACTGTGTCATGTTGAATATTTTTTATGTGTAATAGTGTATTATAGTATAATATCTATTCATAAGGCCATGATTTGTTTTAGCATCATGTATTAATAAGTTCACCAAATAGTTAACATATTTTTGACCAAATAATTTTTCTTGGTTTTTTCTTTTTAACCTTTTCTATATTTTATTGTATTATTCCTAAAGGTCAATTATGATCACAACAATTGCAGTGTGTGTAGTAGACATGTTTACTAGATTACTAGATTTCATGGAATTTTTTATTCACAAATATTGTATTGTTTTCTTTATTCTAAACACAGAGAAACTTGTAAATTATCGTCCAATATATTTTTGTTTTTTGTCTACAAGTCTTGTGTATTCACAATAAATACGTAAAATGTATAGCCACTGGTCGCGTTTGGTAATGCGCGTGATATTAAAAAGACGCGTGACCGATTTTGGTATTAAAAAGTTTTGGAGAGTGATTGGGGTGGTAAGTACCTGCGCGGGCGCTATTACACGTAGGTTTTTACGCAATTATATCAATTAATGGAGAATTGATTAGAATTTAATACGGCTACGAGCAGAACGCAATAGAATAATATAATTATATTATCGTAAACGTGGGAGACACCTAGAGACGACGACCACGTAGGTCTGATCCCTGCGGGTCTTACAGCTACGAAGGGGCGCCCACGCGCTCTCTTCATCGACCGGTACCGCGTGCTCGTCCCGTTCCCATGGCGATCCTTTGGGGACCCGCTGCCGCTGTTAAAAGAACGCCTTTAACGTTATTGTATTCGTCGCACCGCGAGTGTTGTTGATACGCGTGATCAGGCCAGGAGGATCGATCAATCGGGTAGAGCGATCTCTGTTCCAACGGCGAATGCGCCTGCGTTGCAATTAAATTTCGTTTGTTTCATGACATTAAACTAATTATATTCTTTATTACGTGTGACACACGAGTAAGTCACGTCGCGGATGACGTTATTTATATGGCGAGGGCACATTAACCAAATGTGAGTCCCCGTCGTCGCGTTTTATAATAGGTGTAATAATTAATAATATACTCTCCTCGCCCAGAATATCGGTACCCATGGTCTCTCGATAAAATGATGATGGGTATTGTACAATTTGACTGTTGTACATATTTTCTAATCGATTGCGATTGCGTGTGAAGACGATACACGCGCGTGATTATAATAGGTAGATAATAAAATGCGCCGGCCAAATTTTATATTCATTCCGAGTTACTCCGATGCCCACCCAGGGCCTTGTTTGTCTTGAGAAGATGTTTCAAAGGCCCGAGTTTAATGTGGCATTACAACGATCCTGAAATTAAAATTCCACGTTTAATTTATTTTACGAGTCGTACTTTGTGTCATTGCTGTTTTGTTTGTTAGCCGTAATTATACACTTAATACACCTAAATTTAAAAAAAAATGTCATCGCAGAGTCTCAACATAACACGGCTATACCTATCTTAAAATTTCATGTACATAAATTAATTTTCACTGTTTTTGAAGAGCTATAAGTATATCTACATCTGGTTATAGTTTTTTTTTCTGTTATGCTGTTCTATTTAAAATAAAAATACGTATCTATATGATAATTATTTCTAATACATATGATTTACTAAATAATGAGTTCGTCTTGTAAAGGTATACCTAGATACTACTATACACCTTCATGTTTCTTGCCGGAGCGGATTTAGAAATTTAAATGGTAGTATGGGGGGGGGGGGAGAGGGCTAATTTTTTTTAGAAAATTTACAATTATAATTTCATTACTCATAATAGATTAGGCACAAATTTTCGTTTTTAAGACGTATGAATTCCAAAAGAAAGGGGGTGTTTAAACCCTTTAGCTTGCCCCACCCCTGGATCGGTGTAGACCGCGTGGTTACCACAACTACACACCACATAATAGTTTAATATATTTAACTGTAGGTGTCCCACCGTAAGTTAGGCGGTTATTTAGATGTGGTTATTACTTGTTAAAATGACCAACGAAATCATTTTACCCAATACGACATTATTTAATTTTGCGAATAACACGATAACGGTGAACGCGCGGCGAGAGTCGTACCTATTTATAATAATACGCTTTAGACCAATTTTGAACAAGTGTAAGTAGTGCGCTCACAATATTCACGTTAATATCGTTTACTGTAGATTTATAGGCGTGATTTTACACGAAATATCGGAGGTAGGTAGTACGTCATTTTATGATCTTATTCGATGTCGATTCGCCGCCGACAAAATTAAAATTTATAACACGTATCTACCGGGGATGGTGCAGGTCAACACGAACGTGTTCGCGATGTACGCGAATAAATAAGTAGGAACCGTGATGGGTATCAAGTGTCGAGAAGATTGATATTTTTTTCATAAACGTTTAGCAAAAGGGAATAAAATTCATAATGATAATTATTAGTAGGTATAGGTATACATTTTTGATTTCGTACACGAGACGAGAGCCGCGATTCGGTCGATCCCCGCGAATGTTTATTATATCCTGTCTGCGGCCTAATCTATCAAATATATATACGAGCGATACACAAATTCCCACGAGACACACGCACACCGCGATCGCGCGGTAATATATTATGATCACCGATCAGAATTTTGCGAGAACTTATACGCAAATATTTACAATGACGAATGACGATCGTCGGTCTTTGCGCGTCCGACACGGGCACACGCGTGACGCAGCTCGTCCCGGGGGCTCGTGCAAAGTCACGATCCTTGTCGCAGCAAAATAACGCAGACACCGAGTTGTACGTGGCGGTACAGGCAGTAGACATGCGCCCGCAGCGATTGTCCTTCACTCGTCAGACTGAAGCAACGGGCGCGCGGCTTCCTCTCGAGCGCGTCGTTTACCTCCCGAGAAATCTGAATCCGAACCGCCATCGCATTATCAAAACAGATAATTTAATAAAAACCGGAGAGCTCGCTCGACGCGTATCGCTCTGTATATAATATCGTGTTGTCATCGAATTCAAGGACCCGACCCGGGTCCTCAAGCCCACGCGCGCGATTCCGCCGCCGCCGCCGTCGGTCCCGCGGGAGCAGGATCTTTGAAAATTATTATTGTTAAATTTATATTCCGGAAACGATGGGTATCGCACGCGCTCGACGGTTTTTACGTACATCACGTCGGTTTTCGAATCGAAATATTTCGTTTGCATCCGCTCGACTTAACGCTATTATAGGTATACTGCTGCAGTGACACATGCGTGGAAAAGACGGGCCTCGCGATTTCGAAGTCGTTCCCCGTGTGCAGTAGTGATAATATCGCCACTATGCTCACGCATACATACACTAATGCGTTTACACGAACGGAATCCGTTTTGTGAAACTTTATAACGTGAAAAAATACGGTACTTTTCCACTCCAACAGACACAATTTAGTGTTATTACTGTTTACGTGTTTCATAGGGCTCGTCAGACAAATCCAAAACCATTGATCAATAGTATTGTCAGTACTCACCAGTAATCTAACCTAATATTATACACGGCAATCATAAACAACTATCATTGTAACATCATATTATTTATAATTATAATATTCATACATACCTACGATCTACCCAGTGGCGTATAAATATAGAGGGGGGCCCTTCTAGACCCGAGCTCATAGTGAAATTTCAGATTCAGTCTAAACATTTTATTATGTATTTTTCTTTATTTACATAAAGGTTATACTATGTTACATAATCATAGACTATGGCCCGTAACTACATTGTTTTAAAGGCAGGTATAACATTTATGCGATAGGTACTGATTGATACCATGGTCTACGATTGCAATGACCAATCAAAATCTTTCAAAACCTGGGAAAATGTTTAATTTACTTTAAGTATAATGTAATAATAAATAGGTATGTATTTATAAATTAAAATTCCTCCATTTGTATTATTTATGTTATAATAATTAAAACCACCCGGACCCGGCCATCTAAAAAATGTTCCAGTTGTATATGCATCTATGCTGGTGGTAAATTGGCCCATAGTGAAAATAATTCCTTTATACGCCACTGGATCTATTTATACTTAAGTTTAGTTAGTAAATAATGTAAATTATTACTGTAGTGCTTAAGTTTTCATAACGATATTGTAATTTTTATTTTTACTTGACATGTGCACACGAACATACATATACATAGCATTAGTAAATTATTAACGTTATGAAAGTGTATACCACTTGAAGTTATTCCTATTGATTTTTTTTTTATTTGAACCAAAATGTAAATATTACATTTTTTTTTTTTTTTTTGTTTATTCGCTTATAAATTATGTGTACCTACCTACTGTAGTATTACACTAATAAATAATAATTGATTGACGTCGAATTAAATTCCAAAAACAGTTCAAAACGTAGGTACTTCATAAGTATATATGTATATTATTTACAGTATACGCACTTACAAAATATGTACGTATATTTTATTTGCTTTGAACGACGACTGCGGTCTGTGGAAAGTCGACAGTCGTATTAAATATAAAATATTATAACGTACGTTTAGGTGAATTTAATTTCACAACGAATTTAAGGCATAGATATTATTTTTAAAATCATTTAATGAATAATAATGCGCTTATTTTTAAACGTGCCTTTGTGGAATTACTAGACGTCATATGAGTTTTATGTACAATTCCCTTGGGTATATTTATACCTACTATATAATATGGTATATTGGTATGTACCTATATTAGAATATTTTAACGAAGTACACTAAATTGTATAAATTTAACATTGTAATTTAAAAAGTCGGTTCTTTCCCGAAAGAAAGAAGAAAAATAAGAAAAACTGAAAAAAGAGACAATTCAAATGTAGTACCTATCAAATAAGCGATGAACAGCAGTTTTTATTTAAGCGCGTTTCTGAGAACGAAATTACCTAGAAATATTTTTACACTACATTTATTGGCAAACATTAAATTGTTATCCTCGTTGTCATGAACAGAACACATTTTAAATTGATATCTGCAAGTTTTTCGTTGGTACGTCTGGGTTGTGTGACAACATTTAGAATGAAAAAGTAAATGAAAAACAGAGTGTTCTTGTACAAACTCTGGGTTGCCATGCCATACTTGACTCCGATCATCAAGCTAATGCCAAAGGGCTATCTAAAGAACATCAAAAT